CTTTTCATTTTGCAGATTAACTGTTTTGCAAATGAAGTTATGGACTTGTGCACAGCATTCAAGCCTACTTGCTTTTTTTTTTTTTTTTCTCCCCTTAAAGTTCCTGTGAAAGAAGCAGATTAAAAACAAGTATTTTTTTCACCCTTTGGTCAAGCACGTTGTACTCTACCTGAACGTGCTTTACTGTTCTTATGCTCCAAAGACATTTCCTCCATATCAACAAGTGACTTAGACCTTACTAGTTATCTCTTGATTAAGCCCCTGTGAATTTAAAGTCAGTTCTAACCAAAATAAATGAGTGAATCTGTCTGTGTGAGGCTGTAAGCATTGAGTGAGGTGCTAGGTGCCTGCATCTCTTCTGAAACAGAGCTTCAGTAGTTAGGTATTTTCTAGCTTATATTTGGTTTTGATAAGTTTAATGTGCTACAATTTATAATGTCACTTACCTCAAAAATAAAACATAGATTTTTTTGCTGTTGTATGAGTAGTTCAAGCTCACACAGACTATTGCTGCCGCTGAAGTTACTGCCACATCCCATCCTGCCACAGAACTCAAACCCCATTGTCACCTCTCCATGCTTGCAGAAATGTTCATAGCAAGGAGCAGTGAGGTGGATCGGGGAACTGATCTAGGGTCAGCAGCTACTTTTAATCTGCGTCAGCTTCTACGTATAGTTGAAAACAAACCCTTCTGCAGTGAGTGGAGGAGAAAGGAGAGAACTGTAAACATGGGACCAGCTGTATGTGTGTTTGGAGGTATTGAGGGCCTGCATTCTTTAGCAGTAGAGCTTGTTTTTGCTAACTTAGCTGATTATGTGAGTCCTGATTATTCATATAAGTAAGAATAGGTTACAAAATATTAATCTGATTTAGCCTATAAAATACCATGTTGCTTTGTCTTTTGAGAACTGTTGATGAGTTAAAAACAACTACTAAAAAAGGTAGCAGTGGTCTGTTTTGACACATTTATATAAACTTATTTACTGATAGCATAGGCTGTAGTAGCCTGCTTTCACTTTCTGGTTATGTATTCTTTCTGATAGAAGTAGGCTGCTTACAATATTGCAGACTTGTTCACTCCTTTTCTCATTGGATATCAGAAGGTAAACAACTTTTATTTCAGGTTTTACTATCTTTTATTCTCTCTTCCATAGTCTTCAGCCATTTCTTTTTTGTAAGTTCAGCCACAATATTTGCACAGTTTATAGGAAAAGGACATGTAGTCTGCCATTTTAACAGAAATCTTTGAATTGGGTAAATCGCTAATGCTTTTCCTTTCTTAAGGAAAACCTTGCCTGAGGATTTGCAAATGATGGAATACTGATCGGACTATATCGAGACTTAGGCAGTATGAAATGAATTTCCAAATTTTTGAGAGGAAAAAAAAAGTGCTTGCTACTGGTTTTGGAATTGTATTTTTAATGAAATTGCATCAATCTTAGCTTTATTTTACAACAGCATTTTGGAAAACTAATTGAAATAGATAAGCTGACAGAAACTCCTGCATCTCTGACTTTCAGGAGGTATTTGAAATTGAAACGAGGGGTAATTGTTCACTCTAAAAGCTGATGGGAGTCAGTAAAGGAATGGGAAACTCACCTTTTTGGGAACAAAAAAAGTTTAAAAACCATTCTTCCAGTTGCTGACAGTAGGTGAAACATTCCCCACCTTTACATTCAAAGTGTATGGAGAAAGTAGATAGAAACTGAATGCAATAAAGCATTTCTTCTGGGAAATATAATCAAATATGGCCTGTGTTTGCTCCCAGAATGGACAGTCCTCCTCTCTTCCTTGCCCTGGCTATGAATTTCACTTGCCATCAGATCAAAGAGTTACACAAATGTGTGGCGAGTTGATTTAACTCATTACAGAGAAGCCTGCTCATTAGGTTACACAGGTGATGAGCTAGACATGTGAGTTAGGGGAGCTGTGGTCAGCAGTTTGATTGAATTAAGTGTCTTGTGAGCCTGCTCATTTATATACTTACCTTATTCAGGGGCTTTAGCAGTATTTAGAATATGTCTAGATTAGGACAAAAAAGCCCACATGTTTTTCTCTTACTATATTCTCTATGTCTGTAGGGTCATTTAGCCTATGCATATTTTTGGGTTTTAGCCCATATTAGGTTTGCCTAGTACATGTTGTGATTACTCACATGTTAGGCCAGGCCTTTAGTGGTTAATACTATAGGGCTGCTCTGAAATTGTATTCTTATGTGATATGGAGCTAATCATAACAGTAACTAGCTCCCAAGGTCATAAATCGGGTTCATGGCCAAAACAGTAATAATAGGCCACCTCTCTTTGCATTCCTAGTCTAATTAGGCTAAAGAGTGGTAAAAGAGCTGCTGACTGATAGTGAAGCAGGTTGCTCGGAAATAGGCAGGCCTGGAATCACTGGTAAATAATGTAGGGACTCTTGCTAAATGGCAGAGAAAAACAGTGCTTCTGATTTGTCTAAATTTTTAGGCTCTGGTGATTTTGAGAATAGTACATATTTTATATTTTATGATCAATTTAATAGTGGGAGAAACAATTAATATAAAGAATTCGCAGTAGAATCTTTAAAAGGATTACAGACGATATATTCGCAGCTACCAATGCATCATATTAAAAAAAATGCATGTGCAAAAATCAGATAAAGGACTCCTTAAATTAAAATTTCTTTGTGATGAAGTATATTGAATGTAAGACCTTTGCTTACGTTTGACCTTGGTATTATTTAGTATGGGATTGTGATATAAAATGCTGAATAAGCAAGAGGAAAAGCAAATTGAGGATACTACTTAGTATTAATTTGTAAATTTGTCCACATGAACATTTTACTCTGAAAATGGTTAAGACCAGAATAGTTAGCATAAGAGGTAGTAAATGGTAGCAGCTGATGTTCTGAATTCTTAGTCACAGTGCGCATGTACATTAGAACGCATGCACACTGTTCTGGATTTCTGTTGTATGCTGAGAACAATAGTGTCATAACTCATTTATAGTTCCCAGTTTCTTTTCTAAAAGTTTATTACCAAGATATGCTGTTTATGTACTAAATCAGCAGAATTTCCACTGCCTTTTTTTCTTTTCTTTTTTTTCTTTTTTTTAGGGTACTTTTTGTTGCCTTTCTAAATATACATTAGTTCTTTACACTGTCTGGAAAGGAAATAAAAACTCTGTATATTTTTACTGTCAAACAATTTGGAACAGCTATTTATTTTTTTAACTTGATATAAATAAATTGTCATTAAATCTGCCTTTAAAGTAGAGAATGTAGTCTGTTGAAAACTGAAAGGCGTCATTATCATCTTTTGTATCGTTTTCCAGACATGCCCTCCATTCATTAGCAGAAGGGAAGCATAAGTTTAGGAACTGGCAGTTGTGTAGCAGCATGAGTCCAGTTGGAGGCAAAGACTCTTTGATTGAGAGGAACATTCCTAAGATAAAATTGAGAGTAAAACAGGCTTTGTTACTGTGTTTCAGAGCTGCTGTAGCGATTAATGGTATATCTGTAGTCTCCAATAAAACCTCTGATTTTCTCATCTAGAAAATATTTTCATGACAAAATGTTCTTTTGTTTTATTTTTATTTCAGATAACCTCAAAAGATTTTTTTTTTTTAATATTTAGCACTGTTGCCTATATAGCTGTGTTCACTGTTTTAAGTAGTCATTTGCATTAATGCTGTTCCATGTATGATTCTGGGGTGAGCTCAGCTGCATGTCTTGTGAAACAGGTGATTTTTCCACAGCAGTAATAGTTAAAGTCAGCAGTTAATAAATTAGTTGGTATATTCGGAAAAACAGGAGAGAGAGTAAAGGCAATGAATCATGCTGATAAATATTCAAAAGACCCTTCAATTCTAAAATGAGACCCTGAGAATTTTTTCTTGTTATTAGAAGACTATTTTGGAAGTAATGGGGAGGTAAAGAGTAAAAAAGAGAAAAGCTTTTATCTTTTAACGGGGTATTGTAAAGTTAACTTGGGAAGAAGATAGTTTATTTCAGTTTGAAAAACTGTGCCTAATAGTAGGGTTAGTATGATGATTTAGATATTTCAGCTGGCAGGTTTTTGAGGATTCCTTGTATCCAGGAGGTAAGCAGTGACAAGCAGCTGAGTGATAACTTATGATACAGGTAGATCAGAAAGAGGATGACTTGTGTTGGCCACAGTCAATATGTTTGTTCTTAAATCATGCATGTTGGTTCAGGAAGCAGTAGAAGCTTTGGGTGAATAAAAAGGGTCTAAAGTAATAAGCATAAAGTGAGAGGGAGTAACAGGTTATGGGGAGGTATATAGTTTTTTAAAAGAAACACAGAAGTGTTGCTTTCTTACAGTAATGAGTATAGATAGAAGACTAATGTTTTAGAGTCTTTAAAATGTCTTACTGAAAACTTGGAGGGTAATACTGTGTATGAAGTGAACGGGAATACTAATGCAAAGAAATGAAGAAGAAATATTCTGATTCTACACTATTTTTTGACAAAATATAGTATATAAAGTATGCGTTTGGCTTATTTATCATAAGCTTTACACAATCATGGAGGTCTGTTGCACTGAGTATATGTTTCTTTTTTTTATGTTGTAGGTGAGCTTTGAGGTGAATTGTTTGTGTTTATATCCACAAGAGTTACGTGTTCTTTTGAGCTTCTGGCAAAGTCTAATCTTAAAAATTTATTTTTCGGTTTGCGTGATAAAACTTCTACTCGGTTTGCATGATTAAACTACTACTCAGAATTTTTTTTTTTTGGAACACCATGTTAGAGCTAGTTAAGTATAGTAACAAAAAAAATTCTGACTCTCAATTAATACAATATTTATGGTGAAAACTCAATTATTACCTGAACATTTGTTTCCAAATGGGATATGAAATTAAATATAAAATTAACAATTTTATTAAATTCTGATTTAAATATAGGTGCAATTTTTTGGGCAAAATATGGAAGCATTGAGGGTACTGTAAAGTATTTAAAATGAGAGTCAGCATCACCTCTTTCAGGTTTGTTAAATTGGCATGAAATGTGTGGGTAACTTGAAGTTTTACTTGCATTTTAACAGTGAAAGCAAGTTGAGTACATTGGTACAGAAGCTTCATGATTTCTTGGCACACTCGTCGGAAGAATCTGAGGACGCAAACTCTCCTCCTGCATTTGCCAAAAAAAAAACCACAGGTAAAAAAGAAATTTCATATTTTTTTGTTGATGTATGCATTGTTCTTAAGTTGAACGACTTTTTTGTCTTTATTTCACTATGTTGTACTTAAGTAAGTCAATTATGTATATTCTAATGCTATTCTAATTCTAAGAATTCTATTCTAATTAAGTGGTCATATCTAAATAGATATACGGTATTTTTTGCTTTTAGTTATGACTGTTTTCTAAATTTGGAAAAAAAAATCCTACTTGTGATTCACTGTCTGTAAAATATGAGATATGAGATAAGATATGAGCAGCATGCATGCATTTGCTTCAGTAGCAGTTCCTTGGAGAGGTTGTTGTTAATTTTTGAAAGTTACTTTGTGTAAGTGAAGAATGCTTTTTATTTTTTTAAAAGCTTTTCTGGTTATTGTAAAATGGCAGAAATTTTGGAGATTTAGCTTTCTTAGGAATTTGGAAAGAATATATACGTTTGGAAAGATCTGAAAACAAAATGGTGCTTCTGAAAAACTTGAAGTGTTTTGCTAGATTAAATTGATACTAGTAACTTTTACTTACCATTTAGAAACTTGAACTTTAAATACTTTTATTTTGATTAGAGCATTAAAAATGAAATTATTTTAAAATTGTATTAAGTAAAATCTGTTTGCACTTGAGTTTAATTTGGACTGGGTTCAGGCATGCAACTTCTCAGGCTATACTATTTCATAGCGGTGAATTAAAATTATGATGAAATGATAGACTACAGGAGATGGAGAGTTTGTTGGGTGTTATATGGAGTTCATTTGCAACCTCTCATTGTCTTCAGTAATAGACTTGTGTGTATTTTCAAGTGTATGCTTTTTACCTTTTCATGCTTTATCCTGAAGAGAGGATAAAACTGCAGTGGGCTGCTAACTTCCTTGTGTCAGCATCCAGGTCAAGTGTTAACATATGGGAAAGAAATCATGCATGCAGTAGTTCAGCAGAATAATACATTTGATTATTATGTAGATACATATGTCTCAGAGTGAGATTTTTCTGAGAAGCATGCTGTTTTGAAACAAGTCTTTTTCTTTTATCCTGTGTAATTACAAAGTAGAATTAGGCTCTTTGCCCCAAAATACAGATTTACTTTGTAATGGTAGCACAGTGACCAACAACAGAAGTTTTGCAGTATTTTATGTGAGAGCCCAGGTTTTTTTAAGAGCATATTGAAGTTGAAAAGTCAAGAATTAAGCACTTGAATATTAGGAAATGCCAGAATTAACTGTGCAGGTTTGCTGTTTCTCCCAGCTTTTTGTGCTTTCCAATACAGTCTTCATGGTACGTCAATCAATAAACAGAACAGTCGCTTGCCGAGTGCTTCATCTTGTACACTGCTATGCAGGTGAACTGTACCATAATGCTAAGAGTACTAAGTAAAGTAAAATTGTGCTGATAACCTTGATTCTGGCTCTTCTTCATTTTTGAGGCGTTGTTTTTTCAGCCTTAATGTTTCTTTGTCCTGTCTGCATTCGATTTGGATGACTCCCTCTTCTGCCTTGCGTGAGTGCCAGCAGGGGAGTCACAGAGAGCAGAGGAGAAACTCCCTTCCTGCTCTTGTTTTAAGTGACCGGCCCCTTCTTTGGAGCAGCAGTCACAGGGAAAACCCTGTGCTCTGGTAGCCCTGAAGTGGAGGGAGGAGGTGCTGCTTGGTCAGCACTAGGAGCTGGGGGGCTGTGCAGCCTGCTTAGTTATTCTGCAGTCCATGTCACTTGTAGAAGCCGGGGGATGATGGAGCATGTTCAGCATGTTCAGTGGGGGCTTGCACATGTGCAGACTGGGAGGGCAGAATCTGCAGAAATTCTAGCTGCCAGAATCAAAGAAATGTCTACTGAGCGCATACACGTTGATATTCTCTGTAGAGTTATAATTTGGGCAAAATTGGGCAGACAGTCGTAGGCAGGCAGAATCTAGTCTCCAAAGGAGATGGCACCTTTCTGTCAAATTTTGAGTTCTTAGAGGCATTCCCTACTTCTAATATTCCCAAGAAATAATTTCAGCTATTAGAAAGGAGCCCAATCTTTGTTTTGATTTCTCCCTCTTCCCTGCACGTGTTCACATGCAGAAATAGGTGGATAATTTTGTCTAGAATTTTCCCAAACAACTCAGCCTTCGGTGTGTCCAGCATGAAGTTTTGTAGTCAAAATGATATACATTTTTACAAGCATAGGATTTTTTTATTTTATTTTACATTTTGGGTAAAGTGTCAGAATGTAGTAAGTTGCAATACTCAGTCTCGTGTTATAATCACAAATGGTAGAGATATTTCATTACTGCTTTACTTGCAAGTTTCTCAGTAGTCTGTTGAAGTAGTAGTTTCTGTCAGTAGTAGTAGTTTCTGTCAGTAGTTTCCCAGTGTCTGTTAAAATACTACTGCTATTATCTTACTATCTTAGACCTTTGAGCAACTACAGTTACTATTAATCACATGGAAACTTGTCCTTCTTCCATCATATGGAGTTGGTAGCCAGAGCAAGTACAACTAGGTTCTTGGTTACTTCCGTGTCTTTAAGGTTATGTATCCCACAGTTCCTAAAATCAAAGTCAAATTGTATTACATGTCAAATGGGACTTTGATATGTGGTTCTATCTTCCTGGATTCGACTTTGTGTTTTTAATGTCAGATATGTAGGAGAAAATATGTAAAGTAACTTCTCAAAAATTGAAAAGAAATATACTGTATACTCTGCATTTACAATTATATTCTTATTTCTGTAATATGATGTCTTCCTCAGTGGGGCTTGTCAACAAGCTACGTAACTGAAAGTAATTTCTAAATGATTTTTTTTTAGAATTTGTCACATGCATTGAACAGTGTTTTGTTGTTGTGCAGCAGGCTTGCTTGTAAAACCTGCAGTCATTCTGTTCCTCATTTATGTTGATAAAACATAAACAGTACTTTGAAATACAATTTAAAGAATTGCTAATAATTCTCACAATTCAATTGGATTGCTTTCTGTCTATAGGGAAGAATAGCGAACCTGAAAATAGTCCGACTACAATGGAGAACAACAGAGAAGAGGTAGGAATACTAACGCTTTTGAATTCTAGCTATACTGCTAGTGCAGAATGGCTAATATATGAAACTAAACTACCTTAGTTGCTTTTACAATAAATGCTTCAAGAATACTCTCAGAACCATATGTAGGAGATGTCACCATCCTATAGGCTGACGATAAACATTGGCTAAGATAGAGAAATGGGAATGTTGTTGAACTTCAGCAAAATTCTTCTGTATACTGTATTAACCAAAGACATTTTTGATGTGGTATGTCTTATTAATATCAAGCGTTCTATCCAATTGGAAACATTGTGTTTGACACTTTATACATCAAGAACATGTAAGTGCCATGTCCTATCTTAAGTTACCTTTATTGCAATAAATTCAGGTATGTGAAATCCTGTTAAAAATAATGTTTTCATGAAAAGCCGGCCCTGTGTGGGCAGATGCCAAGTGTTTGCATTCTGCTGGCAATTCTTCTGCCTTGTGATGTGGATACACACTGCATCACTTGGGCAGCGATGACCCTCGAAGGACCAGCCTTGTAATACCCTCTATGTCTGTATGTCAGGAAAAATAGTAATTTCCTTCATGTAATGTGGAAAATATTTAGTGAGTTGCTTAAGCTATGCTAGCATGAAGTCCCGGTGACTTGTACAAAAGTCAAATATACAAAAATATGCAGCAATGTGGAGGAAGTGTATATTAAGCATGGCTTTTGCCTTGTGTTGTGGCTTTTGCCATTCTTCCATGTGGTAATCGTGCCAATTAATGTTGCAGTGAAAACAAACACTGGGAGACCTCAGACCCTTTCTGACTAGGGCTGACCATTGCTCTTAGTCTGTGCTCAGTCCACACTCTGGAAAGTTCATAGTTCTTTCAGCAGCAGTGGAAATTGAGAACTGGAAGGAGAGAACTTCCTCAATTTCAGGAAAACTTAATTTGTGTGAGGTGTATGCAGAGGTTTGAAATAATTCACTTCTCAGTTTAATAACACTTTCAAAGTACTTGTGACTTCTTGGAGTCTTACTACTTACCTAAAATGCCATATTTTAACTGATTCTAGTAGTTGAATTCAACTGCCTTGAGGAAATCTGGTGACTTCTGAGTTTTTTGTTTTGTTTTTAAGTTAATGTAAGAATCTATTTCAGTGGAAAAAAAATGGTGACTCTCTAATGTTTTCTTGGTTTTAGGGCAGTAGTTCTTCAGAAAGAAACAAAGCCTTAGGATCATCACGTTCTAAAAGGTTGGTTCAGAAAGCAAAAAGGAAAAAATAACTTCTTTTGTTATGTGATGCTATAGCATAAGTTCATGCATTTAATGCCAGATACTTCTGATGTAGATTGGTATAAATCCTTTGAGTTTCAGGTAGGAGGGTTGAGGGAGATAAACTCCTCCTTACAAAAACATTACCTTACAGTTTATTTGTTGTAATGACTTAGAGGATCCCACTTAATACTCTCTTAAATTCATTAAAAAATTTATTCAAATAGCATGGTGTTTTGCTTGCAAAGCGCCAGGCTAACTCATCTTGCAATATGTATATGTCACGAGATTTTTCTGTCTATGCAGAAAACCTACAGTTGTAACAAAATATGTCGGATCAGATGATGAACAAATCTTAGATGAAACTGTAAATGAAGATATTTCAAACGAAAACTCAGAAAATGATGTTGATATGAAAAGCTTGCCTAAAGGTAGTGTATGTCTCTCTCTGTTTCTGAATTCAGCAGATTAGCCAACATTGTGATGCAGCAGAATTAGTTGACTAGAATGTACATGTATTAGTAAAATGCTTATCTTGGATTCTGTTGGTTTTCATATAGAAGCACACACGTGCACACACATTTAAGAGAAAAAAACATATCTTAAAGTATCTTTAAGTTGGACCAAGTATACTTTAACTTCCAGGTCTGCCAGGATATGTGGCTTAGCTTCGTTGGCATCTGTATTTTTTTCAGAAATAATATCTATATGAAAGAGGGAAAATAATTCTAGTGTTGTGTTAAAGCCTCAAAATCCCTATGTTGCTTCTAAATCTTATTTATTTGTGCTTATTTTTACTCTTCTATATTTGGAGGCTGTTAAAAAAAATCAGATCACCAAAAGGAAAACTAAATCTTGACAGGGAGGAGAGGCAGGAGAAATGTCGTCAGTTAATTTATTTTTAAGCACAGCTTTTAAAAAGTTAACACTATAACCCTGTACCCTGCTGTTTATAAATGTAGCATGAGCTTGGTTAATTTCTTCCATTTTTTACCTTTGAAAAAGTGGCAGGAAGATTCGGAGGAACTGCTGCTGTTCACCTTATGAGTAGCAGTCCTTGTAGCAGTCCCCTTAAGGTTATTTTTTCAGAATGTTTGATTATTTCCAGCATCCTCACAACAAAAGTGTTAAAAGTGACCTCTAATTGTGAAAGATATTCACAATTCACATAATTCCGGTTAGTGCTGTTTTCTGTTTAAGTAGAACTGTGAGTTCTGGAATATTGTAAAAGGAAGGAACAGATGTTATTCTGTTATTTTCCTTTCTTACTGAAATCAATTAAGGTGAAGAAGGTTGGGTAGAAGAGGGAAAAGAGAGTAGTTACTTAATAAGGTTTTTGAAAGATTGAAGTAACCAAAAGAAAGTCCTTTAGTTGCAGCAGAGCCCTGCAGATTCCCAACAGTGAGACAGTCCTGTTATGGATGGACTACTTCTCGATACAGAGAGCAAAAATTGCTCCTCATAGCCCAGTCAGTCTTCAGCTCTCCAGCTGTGAGATGGAAATCAGCTTGAAGTGTGTGGTGTTTGCGTTTTGTCCTATGAACACCTTGCTTTTAGTCACAGGTTGCCTTTAAAAAAAAAAAAATACTGTGTTGGCTTTCATTTAAGCAAGACTCTTGCACTTCATTTGGATGTGTAATGGTTTCCAATTTTTAAATGAAATTATTCTAGGTACAGTGGTTGTACAGCCTGAGCCAGTCCTGAATGAAGACAAAGATGATTTTAAAGGGCCTGAATTTAGAAGCAGAAATACCGTTAAAATGAAACCTGAAGCTCCTAAAAAGCGTGGAGGTAAATACAATTTAAAACATTTGTTGGTGTTGATGCTTGTGTGTGTGTTGTGGTTTGATGTGTTTTTTGTTGTTTATGTAACCTGTGCTGAAGCCCTTACCCTGCCACGTTATTTTTCTTATTGTACTGCACATAAAAGCAAAGCAGGAGTAGTCCCGTGATCTCATATCAAACCTCTAGCTGCTTGATCCCAAATTTAATTTGAGATGAGCTTCTCAGAATTTTTTCTTTTTTTCTTGGAAGTGTTGCTGCTTATGAAAGGGACACAGTGATATAATATTAAAGAATGAGTTAAACACTGTGGCAGGTGGCAAGCCTTCTAACCCCAAGCTCACCTCCTTCTGGAGTGAGCTGGGGGCCTGGCATCAAAGCAACACTTTCTTGACCAGAGTATTATTGTAGATACAGCATCCGAGAGCACTGCAAAAGCAGGTTCAGATGTGTTTTCAGGAAATGTCTGGTTAGTCCAGGATTATAGATTGCTCAAAGGAATAAAATTTTAGGTTGTCCTCAAGTGGAGTGCAGAAATCAGGGGAAAATTCTTTCAATCTTTAAATGGTGAGTGGTTATAGAAAGTGTTGCTGTTGCTGGGTGGTGAAAAGTAAAGGCATATTGCAAAGCCTTGCAAGCCAAAATGAAATGTAATAAAATGAATTAAATAAGATAGATTTCTTTAAAAAAATGGAAATTAAAAAAAATAATAACGTATGGTTTATAATCCTCTCTATAGAGGAAGGACTGCATGGAATTGTAAGCTGTACAGCTTGTGGGCAACAGGTGAACCATTTTCAAAAGGATTCAATCTATAGACATCCTACACTGAAAGTTCTTATTTGTAAGGTATGTGGTAAACAGTTCTACACTTTGTACTGTGTGTGTTTCTATTTTTGTTTGAAATGTCATGGTAGTGGATTCGGGTGACCTTTTTTTGTGGGACTAGTTCTTTAGCCAAAAACTTTTTAGTCATTATTTGTTATAGTTAAGAAAATTAATAGCAGAAAAAAAGAAAAGGCTATTAAAAAAGTAAAAACTTCAGAAGTTATATACCCACTTTTGTACACCTCAGTTGTCCAATTCATTGCGGTTTCTCTTAAATTATTTTTAGAGTATTAAGAATAATCTTAGTGATTTTTTTTCTGTGAAATGAGCTTCAGTGAAATGGTTCTGCCTACTCAAATTAACAAAATCAAATTTTGGATGTCGTAGTGAAGAATCATGTAAAATGCTGGAATAAGAAGGTGACAGGTGGCTTCAAACCCATCTCAGTTTCACCTGCGTACAGCTGCTGCACTGTTTTAATTGCTGGCAGCCTCTGTCATGATGGCCTCATCCTTGACCCAAATGAACATCTGGGTCTTGGCACCATCCAGTTCACAGTGGCTTCAGCTGGCCCTTTATTTTCTGCAGTGAAGGAGATGTGGAACAGGTAAGGAAGGAAATACCCCTCCCTGCAGCTGTGGCAGCCTCTGTAAATTTCTGAAGAGGCATATGAATGTGTGCTGCACTAAGCATTTAGCATCCCACTTTTCTTCACGCACTCCTCTCACCTCCCAAAGCCCAGTTAATGATGAATATTTAGGTGACCTGCTGAATCAGACATGCCTGTCTAATGGAATGTTCTGACTTAGTTCTTTTGTTCATTTTGGCTTGGTTCTTTTATAAAACATCCTGTGTAAGCTTTAGAAAAAATAGCTCATGAGAAAATTGTTACAAAACTTTAAAGACCTTAGCATACAACGCTGTATTCTTTTGGTATATGCAGGTATCTGATTTGTTTTTGAAACCAGTTAGACTTCTGGGTTAAGTAGTATGTTTTGGCTGTGAGCTCTGCGAGGTAATTGTAGCATTTGCTGTTTCTTATATTTTTGATTTAATTGAGCATGGTCTTCTGATAATGTGTGAAAGGGGAATACAAGTTCCTGACCTGCATACTCTTTTTCTTCAATTTTCGTTCTGCAAATTTCTCTTATTTTTCTCCTACTTAGGTAAACAATCCCAGACCTTTCTGTCTCTGCAGAAGCTGCTTTTCCTTGACTGTGAATATTCTGTTGACAGAACATGTTTTTACTGTATTTTAATCCTTCCTCAAAGTAGAACTTCAAGAAATTTCTTTATCAACAGCTGGAAAAGGGAAAAAAAAAGACTTTCAAAATTTGGTTTAAAGAATTCAGCAACTGAAGCCACTGCTATTTTCTGACTAGCATGTGTTGTTTTTCCTACCATGTTACCCATTTTTCAGTGAAACTAGCTCTGCACCTGAGAATTGAAGCTTTGTTTATTAAAATCAGGATAGATGCCAAAAGTTTTTAAAATCTTACGAGATCATTTGCTAATATATAAAACATACAGCTAAGATTGTAATTTATGTGATACTGTGTCAGTGAAGATACATAGCTTTCCTTTTTTAACTTGAGTATTGCCTGGGTTTTCCTAGAAAGTAGATGGAAATAAGGGATGTGAAAAGAAAGACTTGGTCTTGGATGTTCTAAAGTGTAAAAATGTCGCCATCAAATTAAAGCCTATTATTTCATTTTCAAGTCAATCTTGAGCAATCTAAGTCATGGCTTACCCTGTATCTATAGAAAATGTTTTTTAGATTCGTCATGAAAAAAGTGGTTAGAATGCCGAAAACTTTTCAGTTGGTGTTTGCAATGGTCCATTTCTAATACATGCGGAAATTATATGAAATATCAGGAAAGATTTTAATGAAAAATTCCTTGTTTCTTTACTTACAGACTTGCTACAAATATTACATGAGTGATGACATTAGTCGTGATTCAGATGGAATGGATGAACAGTGTAGGTAAGTATATAAAGTCTGTATTAACACTTATAGTAGTTCTTTTTTTTTCTCCCTAGCAATTAAAAAATTATTGATGAATAAAGACCAGTATGTAAGAGCGTAATCAGCAATCATTTCTCATGAAGAAATGCTCAACCAAAGGATTATATAAATATTTCATTCCTGGGTGCTTTTCAGTCGTGCTTTTAATGTTTTCGCATAATGGATTTCTGCTTACAATCTTAGTTTTTAAAATGCAAATTCTTCGTGGTGAACAATTAAAATATATAAATATCTCATTTTTTCACCTCATTTATATGGAGATAATTTTATATTTTTGTTTCATTTCAGATGGTGTGCTGAAGGTGGAAATTTAATTTGCTGTGACTTCTGCCATAACGCCTTCTGTAAAAAGTGCATTTTACGCAACCTGGGTCGAAAAGAGCTGTCAACCATACTGGATGAAAATAGCCAGTGGCACTGCTATATTTGCCATCCAGAACCTTTGTTGGACTTGGTCACTGCATGTGACAGCGTCTTTGAAAATTTAGAACAGTTGCTGCAACAAAACAAAAAAAAGATCAGAGTTGAAAATGAAAAAAGTAAAATATATGACCATACACTCAAATTCTCTCCAAAGAGAAATAGTTCAAACTGTAATGGTGAAGAAAAAAAAATAGATGAATCATATTCTGGTTCATTAACATACTCTTATAAAGCACTAATGGTGCCAAAAGACATGCTTAAAAAAACAAAAAAGTTGGTTGAGACCACAGCAAATATGAATGCTAGTTTTGTAAGCTTTTTGAAAAAGGCTGCAGAAAATGTAGACGTAAGCCCAACCGTGCAGCTTCGTCAGCTGAAAGCTTTTAAATCTGTGTTGGGTGACATCAAAAAAGCTCACCTGGCACTAGAAGAAGGTCTGAACCTGGAGATTCAAGCTTTGGATGTTAAAATCAAAGAGAAAAGTACCAAAGAGAAAAAAAATGAACTCAAATCTGAAAAAAATGAGATGAAAAAAGATGAAGGAAAGGAACACGCCGAGTTAAAAGAGGAGGGCATTGTAAAGGCAGATAAAAAAGTTGTGTCAGAACAGCCTGACAATGAGCCCATGGATCAAAGTATTCCAACAAGGGAGCGAACAGATAACAAGCGTGCTACTGGTGAAGATAAAAAGTCAGGCACGAATGAGGAACCTCAGTATGAACCAAGTACAGAGGCTTTAGACATGGACATAGTATCTGTTCCCTCATCAGTTCCTGAAGATATTTTTGAGACTCTAGAATCTGCTATGGAAATTCAGACTGCATCAGATGAGCAAGGCAGTGGAAATACAGAGACAGATCAGGAGGCTGTAAATTCAAATGTAAAATTGAACGCTGCTTTGAAAGATACCAAAGGTGGAGCTAAGTTAAAAGCATCAGCTAAAGGAACAAAGGAATTGATTGTAAAATTGACTCCCGTTTCTCTTACGGAGCCTACAGTTAAAGCTGAAGATCAAGTCAGCCATCCAGAAAAAGCAGATAAGGATACTCGTGTAACACGTAGAGCTGAAAACTGTGATCCTGGAAAACAAAATCACGATGCTGCTGCCAATGAAAGTTCCACAGAAAAGGAAACCACCTCAGCTGCCGAGGAATCTGATCTCAGGAGATCCCCACGCGTAAAGACCACCCCTCTGAGGCGCCAGACAGACGTCAATCCCTTAACGTCCAATTCGGAAGAAGACAGCAATGATGCGTGTAATGAAAAACGTAAGAGGAAATCATCAAAACAACCGAGGGGGAAAAAAGATGAGAGAAATTCTTCCGACAGTACTACTGATAGTCCTAGTTCTAATAAACTTTCTAAATCAAAAGAGCCGAATGTATTAGATGAAAGCTCTGATTCCGATGAGGTGCCAGCTGTTCTTAAAGAGGTAGCTATGTTAAGTCACAGTTCTTCAGATATTGATAGCAATAGTGAAGCACAAACGAATGTTCCTAAGACTCTAAATCCAGTAAAGGATGAAAATGGGAAACGAAAAAGAAAAAGTTCCACTTCTGGTTCAGACTTAGATGCTGAAAGAGGCAAATCAACTAAAAGCCCTGCTTCTGCAAAAAAGAAACGACAAAATTATTCAGATTCTTCAAATTACGATTCTGAGTTAGAAAAAGAAATTAAGAGTTTGAGTAATATTGAGTCTGTGAAAAAAGCCAAGAAAAAATACTCAAGAAAAGATGATAGTTATGATTCCTCTGAAGAAGAACAGAGAAAAAGAGTAATTAGTAAGAGAAAGATTAACTTGAAGAAAGAAAGAGGTAAATCTTCTGAAGATGACGATGCTGAGAAGTCGTCTATGGAGAAGGAGGAGACTAGTCATTCTTCTGAAGATAAAAAGTATAGTAAGAGGTCATCTGTTAAGGAAAGGATAAGCAAAGACTTACAAGAAAAAAATGTAAGGGGAAAGCTGGATGAGTCTTCTGATGCTGAGAAGCCTTTACTGGAGGAAGAGGAGAGCCATCCTTCTAAAGGTATGAAAATGACAGAAGCTAAGAAAAACAAGGATTTGAAAAAGAAAAAGGCACAGGAAGATGATACTTCAGAGAGTACAGAGAAATCTGTAAAGAAAGAACACAGTTTGGATTCTTCCAAAGAAAAATTGAAGAATAAAAAAGCTGAAAGCAAAGAAAAGTCTGAAAACTTAAAAAGTTACAAGAAAGATGATGGTGATGCTGATTCTTCTGATGTTGAAAAGTCGTCCCCAGAGAAAGGAAGTTGCAATTCTTCTGAAAATGATAAAACTAAAAATGAAAGTGTGGTTAAAGAAAAGAAAAGGAGGAGTTTGAGAGAGAGAATATCTAAGAGAGTCCATATTGATTTATCCTCTGATGCTGAGAAATCTCCTCTGAAAGAAGAGACTTCTTCTGAAGATGCTGTGCAGAATAAAAAACGGACTGAAACTAAAGAAAAGAAAAGATTAAGTCACAAAAAGAAAATGTCTAAGAAAAAACAAAATGACTCATTGTCTTCTTCTGATGAGGAGTCTTATGAAGACAATAAAAAAAAGATTAAAAGAGGGGCAGCAAAAGAAAGTAAAAGGGATAACTTAAAGGAGAAAAAGAAAGTATCAAAAAAGCAGAAGGTTGTCACTTCTTCTTCTTCCTCATCTGATAAGGAAGAAAATGATGATCAGAATTCAATGGATGATGGAAGCAGTGATGAGCAGAAAATTATGCCGGTGACTGAGAGCTTAGTGCTGTCTGCTGGTGCAGGATTTTCTCAGTCATCAGGTGTGCAAAAGAATTTTATGTACATTTTAGTTAACATATTATTTGGGGAAACTTGTAAGATTTTCATAACATTTAATAATCTAGAAGTTAAAATGTCCATAAGGTATTAAATATACTTCAAAAAAAAATCTGTAGTCTGGTAGTTTGTCTGATAATCATATGGAAGCATGCATTTCAAGTTAATTTGTCAATTATGGTTTCTAGAAAAAAAAGGATGCTGTTATAAATGGAGAGAATTATAGTCTGCAATTCCAGACAGTATAACTTTGCTCCATGGCCTTCCAAAGCTTCGTTACTCTTTTTAACTGTCCAGTTAATATTTAGCAGAAGCTGGTTATAAGTAGTAGGAGGTCTAGGAAATAATAACAATAATTTTAAAAAGCATAAAACTGCTTGATTATAAAGACTGTTTTTAGAGGACTTGAAAAGAAAGGGTGGTTTTCACATTGCGGGCGCTGTGGATACGTTTAAGAAAATAATTTTTAATTAGAAAAAATGAAATCTACTTGCAGTTTTGATTCCTGAGAGGAGGCTATTTCTGTCACTGTTTCACTCTGCTTTCTGTATTTGATTTTACTCTGATTGTTTGCTCCAGTACTTCCACCTAGCTTGATGCTGCACGCAAATAAAAGGTTTGTCTCCATAACAAGTGGTTATGGAGACAGCAGATGGGGCATAGGTACGTTTTTGCATCCCCAAATAACACTTGTAAGCATGTACTTGCAGTATATGTCTTTGAATTTAGTGCCCTGTAAGAAAGGTAAAATTTATTAAAGATATTTTGCGTCACTGTAGAGTAACTGTTGGAAGATAAGTTCCTTATTCTGCCTCATAATACCTTTGCTTACTGAGGCCCTCTGATGAAATAAGGTTAGCTGAGTATTCGTGCAGGTCATGTTAGGATTTTTAGGATTCCAGAGGATATTTCCCCAAAGATGCTGCTGTGGAGGGAGATGGAAAATAATCAACTCTGCATATTAATGAACTGACATATTTCATGTAGTAAATGCCTCTTCTGATAAAGCGTGTCGTAAAGATAGACAGTTATACTCGGAGGCAGTAACCCGTCTGCAGCTCACTGGATCTTAAAAAGAAATACTCTGGTAATAGAAGGTTTTCCCATACAGTGTTTGTCCATAGACTAGGGAACAAAATGGCCCAGGGGCACACAAGTCGATAGTAAAGTAAGAAGTTAACTGCCAGCAATGGCTCAGGCAAGTTCTATTTGCAATTTGAAGGATTTGTTAATTATTGGAGGGCATGGTAGGGAGCAATGTATTAAGGGGGAAGGAGTAAGATGATGGAGGTGGCGCAACTGACGCTGGAGTTAGGCTGGGCTGCGTTCAGTCAGCGTGGGGAGAGGAGAGTGAAGAGGAGGACTCTTCACTGGTGCCTTACAGCTGCCTGGGGAGTGGGTATAGGGAAGGCAGAGCCAGGTGCCTGAAAATGTCCTGCAAAAGTGTTGAGAGGCCATGGACACCAGTGTGGCCAGGAAAATTCAGATGGAAGGGGAAGGGTTTTACCTTAGGCATGGTCGATGCCTGCAACAGGTTGTCAGTCTCTATGCTTAGAGATGATCAAAACTTGACAAGATAAGTCCGTGAGATACCTGGTTTACAAAGTTAGCCCTGCTTTCAGCAGGGATTCGGACTAGGTGATGTCCAGGAGTACTTTCCTATCTGAATTACTATATCACTTTTATGAAAATGAACTGTATTACCTTATTTTAAGAGGAGTCAGTGTTTTTCTTTGTCTTCAGTTTGCTTGAAGGATTTTTGTTTTGCTAAATTAACAGAGTATTTTCTCTGAACAAGCTCTGTATTAGAAACTTCTTTTAACCAACAGGAAACATAATTTATCTAAGCTTAAGAGCAAGGGACTTTGTGTGATCACCTCTTACACAGTTGTCAGACATCTAGTTAGTGTTAATTCCACAAAAAACATGATAAAACAGCTTGGGGCAAGCCTGTTGCTGCCTAATCTTGGTCTACTCAGTAGAAATAGTAGATTTGGTATGTTTGCTATATGAGACAGTATCCATGTTGTGCAACGGAATTTTAGTGTTTGTTCTAAGGGTGTTCTAAGAGAAGAATTTGTTGTTCTAGAGTACTTGTTACTAGAATCAGAGCAGCTCAGAAGTTGGGTCAGAGTGATACTGTGTTACATTTGCTTGAACTTTCTTTTCAACTTAAGAAATTCAGTGGCAGAATTGCAGACAGGAGTAGCGAGATGGCTGCTGGCTTCTTACAGTTCGGAAATGAAGTTTCCTGAATGATATATGCAGTCTTTACGTGTTTCAGTAAAAAAAATGAATTTTATAGTATACAATAAGAAGGGGAAAATACAAATTGCATTCAGTAACAAGAATAATGTGGACAAAACAGCTGCTAGAAAAAGTATGTATTGTTCTTAATAAGAACAATTATTTCTATCTGGTAAGATAGTAACTATCTTTTCTGTTTGTTAGTGAAGAAAGTAGTAGTGCTATTACCAAAGTGTTTTTCTGTGGGGATTTCTCATAGAGACACTAGTTCATGTGCCTTGTATGTTTATTGCTGGTTTTACACATACCAAATGTTCTTTTCTTTTTGTTTTTTCTCCTTTCTCCCACAGAAGATGAAGGAGAGACTAAGTCAAGGGCTGTTCCAAGGGAGGAGGAGGAAGATGATGATGATGACGATCCCGAGAATAGGTATGATTCCATCTGTAAGGACTTAAAACAGATTATAACACACCCTAGGCGTGGGCGCATACCGGCACAACGGAAGAGCAAGCAGGTTGTAAAAACCAGGACTGCCTGCCTTGTAAAGACTCGCTCACAGGCTTCCCGCAAGGTGGAACAAGGGGCCAGAAAACAGAGGCCAAAATCCAGAAATGCAAAGAAAGTATTTAGAAGTGTTAACTAACACACCTTGCGTAGGGTGTGTTATAAGTGCACTGCAGCACTGTCCATTTTATGTTCCCATTGAACATGTGGGTTTTGTGACAAGTTTTTTACTCAGTCAGGTAAAAACCTACTTTTGCTAGATGTGAATTTCAAGTAGTTATATGAATAGAAGGTAAAAGTTTGCATCTGTGTAATGTGCAGTGCTAAAATCTCTATGGATTGAACTTGGTTATTACTGTTACATAATTTGCTTTTTTTTTTTAATTGAAATACCTTTTTTCAATAAAGAGAAAATACAGTGTGGAGAAAACAGTATTAGAGACATTTCAATCTGTTAATTAAACTGAGTTTTAATCCATTAATGAATTCCTGAAGTCGCTAATGTGATAGCAAAGGCTGTGATTCTATAAGCACTGTGCATAGGCTCAACTGATCTCAAGGAGATTAATTATACATTATATTTGAAGTCTTTGCATAGATATTTTCAGAATGGTGGCCTAAATGTATTGCTTGGGTTTCTAGTTCAATAACAATGAATCTATGTAAGATATAGTTAGTTCTTTAAGACATGTCATTAACCGATACCATTGTAGTCATTGAAATTAGCCTGTCTAGAAAATGTAAAAGCTTCATTTCTTAACTAGTGAATGCACAACATAAATAAAGTATTGCTCAATTATGAGCTGGAGTTTCTTTTTGGAAGTTACTGTAGTTAGACTAAACATTTGTTCAACAAAATTTTATACAGTATTTCAGAAACTGATTTTTTTTGCCACATAGTGTATATGGGACCAGCTTCCTAGGTTTGCACAATTGCTGATGGAGTCTTTTTCTGCTTCTGAGCCTTACTAGTTTAGAATATGGTATCCTTGTTTCACAGAGTTGTATGTTTTGATATGTGACTGAAGTAAATTTTAAAAACGCTATTTTATATCCTTTACAGACCTCAGTTTGGCATAAAAATGTTGCTGCTGATATAGTTCTTGCCTGCTTTCAGTCATAAAATTTAATGAAGTAATTCAGCTTTTAAAGAAAGATGCTTTTTAGGGACCTTACAGCACAGGGTCATAAGCAGAACATGTAAACATTGGTGATACCAGATTTTTTTAAATGATGCTTTAATTTTAATCCAGTTTTGATTTTTTTTTTCTTTTTACTTTCTGTTTTTATTTGCTTCTTAAGCGCTTATGGTAGATAATTTAACCAATGCAATTTTGTCAAAGTTCAGTGCTCACAGTACAAATGCTAACTGACAGATCTTCGTTATTAGTTTAAGAGCTGTATTGGGAAATGAATGAACCCAAATGGTAAAGAACAAATTGGTAATATCAATTTAGGTTTTAAAAATCAGTTTCTGTAATTTGTGTTTAAGCTGAACCTTTGTTGACGTTTTATTTAGATAATACTTTGAATATATATTCTGAGTTGGGGGGGTGTTTGTTAATAAATAGATTTGTCTACCTTCAGACATGTTAACTGGTAACTGCAGTCTGATTTTGCATTCAGCATGCATTATACTTGGCCCCAAAATCAGAGAAAAGTGTAAAAAGATGGAACAAATTCTGAGAAGCTAAAAGCTTGTTGTCTGTTTACTCAACACAAAGTGTTTAAATAGTTTACCTACTTTCCAGATAAGTTGCCTATTTCCTTCCAGGCCAAAGAGGGTACGCAGTATCTACTGGGTATTTGTAGTGTGTGAGCTCTCATGTTTGCAAGTCTCTAGTTAGATGTTTTTATTTGCATACCTTTGGATGTGCATGATATGAACATTAATAGTCTTGAAATCCTCTTTGCCAAAATGCAATATCCAAGTGGGTCATAATATGACAGACAGTGCTGTATGCTTTCATTTTATGTTGTGTAATTATCTATTATTGGTCCTTCTAATCTCTTAAATGGTACTGTTTAATGTTTGCAGCAGTTTTGTTCATTAAGTACATAGTGTATTTAATGCAGAATGCCTTTAAGTATTTGATGGATGCAATAAATTCTTGTAAAACATTTTTCTTGTCCAAGCATTTAATTTAATACAACTCTGACAGCTTTAAGATCGGACTGTTTCCACAAAGACAGTGCAGTATTTAGAACAAGGTATTTGGTAGTTTTGACTAATTATTTTTGTAACATGTATGACATTTCTTTGAAGTGTTCATCTCTTAAAATGTGTTTTAAATGGATCTAAATTTTAAAAACTGTATCAAAGGCCCTGATTAATTCAGTAGTGCTGTAGCTGAAAAAAATGGTGCCTCTTATTAACCACATACAGATGTCTGGTTTTGTTTTTGTTTTTCCATATAAAGGCTTGTTTTGGGCAACTTTATTTCTACATATAATGAGTAGGTATTTATGAACACTACGTGTGAGTTGATAACTAAGTGGTAATAATATTGTACTAATTAATATCTTATATTCTGACTATCTTTATGAATAGCTGTTTTATAGTCAGCATTGTCTCATCAAGATTTTTGACAAGCTGTAAATGAGTCCATCACATTGGCTCCCTAAAATTCATGAACAGGAATGGTGCAAATTATTGTGTGGACTTGATTCCACATCACGAGAGGCTGCACCTACTATTCCATTTTTATTGAAATGTCTGAAGGATAATAAAAGGTAATTCTATACTGTGACTTCCAGTTTGCTTACCTCTTTTTTTAACGTTTTTCTTTGGCATAAATTAGACCATATATTGTAACCAGTTCATTTTAAAATGTTTTCAGTGACATTCTTTCAAGAATGAAGTATATTTAAATCCTAATTATGCATATATACTATGATTTTATTCTAGAATTGCTTTTATATGTCCTGATTGAGATTATGTCCCTATTCTGCAAGGCAGTGTATGAATACATCCTGGAAAAATGTCATTTTAAGCTTGCTATCTGTTTAAATAACTGGGAATGGAGTAGGCTCAAGGTCACAGTAAGCCAATGGGGCAGATATGAGAATGAAATGCAGGTTTCTTTACTGCCTGAAGTCCTGTGCAGGCGATAATGCAGCTTCTGGTGTTTTCTTTTATAGCTTTTTATAGTATTTAATTGTTAAATCTGAGTGGCCAAGAATATACTTTATTTCCATGACCCCAGGAAATATTACAGTATGTTTAATTTTCATGGGTTTCTTTGGGAAAATGGGAGAGTGTGTTTTCACACTACTACGACTTGTTTTGCTTGGTACTTGCAGTTTGATATTAAAACAAACATTAAAATGTTAAAGCAAAAGTATGAAGTTTCTTAGCTTAAAAACCTGTTTGCTTTTAATGGGTTTATATCTTAAAATAGGAATATGCTATGCTATTTGAACCACCTATAATTGTAATGTAAACCAATTTCAGGAGCACAGTACTCTATATAAGCTGTTTGTTTGTTACACCAGTCATTTGTCAGATGCATTTACAATGTTTAATATGTTTAGTTCTAAAATCATTTATATTTAATTCTGTTCAGTTATGTGGTTACGTTAAAAGCAGAAATCTTTTAGATTCTGGACATGTGTGAACAATGTCTTACACTTTTAGTCTGACATTATTACAGTTGAACAGACTGAAGAGAATGTAGCCATATCCATTAAATAAATTCCTCCATCTCCTTTTGATTTAAAGTGGTTGAGTCTTCATCCTAATCATAAAGGTGTTTTTTTTTTTTTTTTTTTTTCCCACAGAGTATATAAGCTATCAGTTACCAATCCACATCATTATAAATAAATAATTAGAACCTAATGAGTTTCCCTAGAATGGAGGTTGAGCTGGCTGTTGGGTTGAAGGACAGCTGTCATTCATAGGGAAATAGCAGCATGTTTTCTTTATGAATAGTAGATTGTGGCGTTTTGTTTCAAAGTGAATGATATATTCATTAGATTTTTTTTTCCATAAAAACATTAAGAAAGTAAAGAACAAATAAAAAACCCTGTCTTCTCTTGCTATACCTCAATGTACTTTTGTTTAAAAAAATATTAGTGCCTTGTGTGAAAGGTGAGTATCACTGTCCAAATTCAAGTTTTTGTTGACTTTGCTAACGTTATTGGGGGTGATATGGAATAAGTCAGATGCAATATTGCTGGACAGATCTTTGAGGATTGAATTTTAAAATTTTGCAGTTCCTTTTAGCATTGCTTCTTTAGTGTCCAAAGCAATGGGATGATGGTGATGATGATATTGTCGTTTTTTAAATATGAAGGGTGATGAAAAATTGCCAAACTGGTTCTGTCTGCATTTCTTCAAGGTTAATAATTGGCATTAAAAGCTTTCAAAAAGACCAACTTTTAACATTCCAAAGAGTTTTATTCTGAATAAAATGTTCTTCAAAGCAGATGGGTGATATACAATCTTAACTCCTAATAAAAGGAGCATTTCTTCTTGTTATCTTTTTTGTTATTATTATTTTTACCTTGTCTAATTCCCTTTCCTAAATCCTCTGAAAGGGATAATGCAAAAACTGACTGAAGAGGATGTTAGCCTTTAAGTTTTCATTTGGTTTACAGTGTGATACATTGATGTATATGGAATTAAAAGCTCACGAGGGCTATTACAGTTTAATTGGGACTGCATTTCTTTAGAAATCATTTTTCAAAACAAATGTGATTTTTTGGTCTGTTTTGGATGTTGACTGTTTGTGATTCACTGAGCAATCTAAAATAGCTTCATGTTGTTGTCAAACACATTTTGGTTCCATCTTTTAGTAATAGCACGTGTTAGCTTTAAAACGTTTATGGAAGATATAGTAATGTATTGAAAGAAAGAAAAAGACAGTATGAAGTGTAATGAAAGATACCTTGGAAAAAATTCTTCTGAAAAGTTCCTTTCTTTTGGGGTCACATGTTGTATGGCGGAAAGTGAAATACAAATTTGTTAAAATGTACTTTGTAGTTCAGGTACATAAGAAGCTGTACTGCAAAGTTGGTTGTTCCTAAGCCTGTTCCAAGTGCAGTCTAGATTGTGGTTCTCTTTCATGGGTTTTAAGCTGCTGTTTTGACTGGTATATTTACCATCCCATTCTGAACTATATACTTAAAATAAATACAAATGAAAAAAAAAGCTGGGCAGACCAGATCTGATCTAGAAGTAAGTTTCTCATTTAATATTGAAGACTATGAAAAGGAAAGTATAATCTTTCTGATACTTGTATGAGGATGGCCTGGTTGCATTTTTCAGGATTTTTTGCCCCTGGAAGAAGGGGGAAAGTTCTCAGATAAGTCCACTGTTTTCTTGTGCATTTGACACATCATTTCATACTTCCCTTGGATATATTTCCATATTAGATTTTATTTTCTTTTTGTGTGTGTGTGTGTGTGTGTGTGTGTGTGTTGCAAGAGCATGTAAAGAAATAATTTTTGTATGTTAGCTGAAAATATTCTTGTCTTGAGATGAAACCACAAACCTGAGCGAACAGTTTGCAGGGCAGGAATTAAGACAGTAATTCCTCTGTAAAGTTCAGGTTCCGTATTGTTTGATACATTTTTTATTTTGTGTGCGTGTGTGCGTGCACGTATACATATGTATATGTGTGTTTTGCTATAGTTGCCATAAGGCAAGTGGCTTGCAGATATTTGTGGGATTCGGTGTGATTTGTTTTTCACAAGCGCTATTAGCAGCTCATGCTGAGACACCATGAGTTACCCCAGTTACTATACATCTCTACTATAGCATCTCTTTTGCAGCAGAGTGGGTGCAGGCAATCATTAGAATGGTAACACAATTGAAGGCAACTGGGAAATGATCTTTTTTATTGTTTCTGTTTTAGCAGGGAAGAATTGAGCCACTAGCGGAAGAAAAAAAAATGGGTTTATTCTGTTGAAATGTTTATATATGTATAGCTCATAGCTTTCTGCAGCCTTGTGAAGTGTGAAACTGCTGTTTTAAGAAGCATTATAAACATCAGGTTTCTAAAAGCAAGTAAACACGTTAGAATTAATGTGATATATGCTGTCTTTATAACCACGATTTTTTTTCATCACACTTCTTTTGTTCAGCTTTCAGCCTGATATTTGACGTTCTGAATGGTGTATAAGATTACATTTATTGTTCATAGATTTGCTTGAGCAATGGAATACATAGTTTTTTCTGTTTTACTTCAAAGAATTGCCAAGAAAATGCTTTTAGAAGAAATCAAAGCCAATCTTTCCTCTGATGAGGATCCATCTTCAGATGAAGAGTCGGATGAAGGAAAAAAGAAACCTGGAAAGCCAAATGAACACCCAGCAGATGATGGTGAGCACCAAAAAGTAGCTGGAAAGAAGTGGTGCTGTAATATCTGTCATAATTTCAGAGATCCTATAGAGTAAATTGTAATTAGTAAAATTTCTTCAATTTCAGCAAAAAAAATCAATCAACTAGTGTTGATAGCTGGTTGCCAAGTATATATTACCATCCATCAGTGTGTATTACCATGAGGATTATTACCCAAACTCCAGTGGGAGTGTGGGGTTTTTTGTTGTTGTTGTAGTTTGGGGCTTTTAAAAATTTATTTATTTATTTATTTATTTATGGCTGGTGTTTAGATTTTGTAACCAATTCAGAAGTCCCAGGGATGTGTGAAGGGTAGTGCATAAAGAACAGTAGGACATGCAAAAGCTCAGGCATGACAGAGCTAGCAAATGTACTTGTTGCTACAGGTAATTCAGATGATCAGAAGGCTTAAAATATGTATACTTGGAAGGCAAGTATGTTTTGTTATTTGTAATTCTCTGAAAAAGCGCAGAAAATAGTGAAAATTTGTTCTCATTTTATTTTTTACTAAATATTAAATAAGAAAATAATTACCAGCGTGCATGTTGCACTGATTCTTATCTCTGACAGAAGATAATGAAAAAGAAGAAAATTCCGAGTCAGATTCTGAGGAAGAAGAGTCCAAGAAGCCCCTCTACAGGCACAGGCTGCTGCGCCACAAGCTCACCATGAGTGACGGAGAGTCTGGCGAGGAGAAGAAGGCGAAACCCAAAGAGAAAGGAAGCCCAAAGGAAGGGAAGCGCAGAAATAGAAGGAAAGGTATCGAGTCTTAACTTTTGTGTCACGGGAAGCACTTGCTTCTCTGAAACAGGTCGAAAACACACCAAAATGGATATCTGTAGTAAAAGTCTGTGATTTTAAAGCATCTATATAGACTTTTACATATATGAAATATGCAATTCCCATATCTGTGTTTCATAACTACTTTTGTTTAAAATGTGAAAGATGGCTGCAATTCGTAACAGCTCTTTGGGCTTACTTCATCCTTTGAATTGGATTAATCTTGTTAAATCTTGAATATTCATCTGGAATAAACCCAGTATGACCAAGTCATGAATCTTAATTTCTCTCTTAATGCAAATTTTCTTTTCCTTGGACTGTTAATAGGCCACTGTGTCACTGGAAAATTCCTCTTATGGTGGTTTAAATCCTGCAAGCTTTAGTTGAGCACCAGATGGCGGTGTGAAATGCTGCTCGATTTTTCTCATTTTCCTTGTGGAATTTTTGCTTTACCAGTAATATTTATTTTTTAAAAAATTCTCAACATGGTGTCAATGTTCACATAAGGAGTGGCCAGAATAATTCTCAGAACACTTCAGCAATAACTGTGTAAATTGCATTGTTCCCAAGTAGAGCAGTACAAGTTTTTTCAGCTCAGTGTTTTAACCCCTCCATTAACATTGCTTCCCCAAGTATGTAAACCAATCTGTTTGAAATCTGCTACTCATAAAACATTTCAACTTTCCAGTATGTTCAAAGTCCAATTATTTAGCAAGTGCTAAATAGCATGCGGCTTTTAATTACCTGTAAATGCCAGTGATGGCTCCTAAAGGTCGTCACGGAAATATTACCTAACTAATGCTGTTCTTGTAAATGTGCTTTTGATTGACCTTTTACTCAGTTTTAAACTTTCATTGCCTGAAGCAATCTCAAGGCATAAATACAGTATTTTAATTGCCTGTGTTGTTAGTATATTAGTGTTGTTTTCATGAATCATGAAGAGTAAATCATGATTTTAAAAAATATTTGCCACAAAAGCTTATTTAAGTAAAAAACATCTAATGTTTACTGAAGAGTTCTGTATTCTTCCTCCATGTGTTCTTTGAAATGTGAAGCTTTCTAATACAATGCTTTCTGTCATTCACTTTTGAATTATACTTAGCTGTATACATATACAAAAAGGTCTTAAGTCTCGGAGCATAAGAGGCTACTTGAAGGGACTCAGCTAGTGCTCGTATCTTCTCTTTTCTACTCTGGACACCTGTTGCTGTTGCTCCCTCTTGATACATTTAATGGCTGCCATTCTGCTGGAAATTGCTGTGATGATTTTTTTATTTTTAAACAATGTATTGTGTGATTACAAAGTAGGCGATGCTGCTTAGTTCACCATAATATTTAATATGAAATCATTTTATTTTCCAAGTGAGCAGTGATGATTCAAATGACTCAGAGTTTCATGAATCTGCAGTTAGCGAAGAAGTTAGTGAATCTGAAGATGACCAACGTCCAAGAACAAGGTACTGCTACTTGCACAAAAGGGTTATATATTCTATTATTTAGCGATATATTTTGTGTACTTTTTTAGCGTTGTTCATCAGTGAAGCAATAAATTACCTTAGTTTAACAAACAATACTTTTCTCTTAATAGATCTGCCAAGAAAGCTGAGGCAGAAGAAAATCAGCGCAGCTACAAGCAGAAAAAGAAACGAAGGCGTATAAAGGTTCAAGAGGATTCTTCAAGTGAAAATAACAACAAGGTACTATATTGTGTTGTTAATTAAATGGGAAAAGGAGTTTGTTTCTTATGCCCTCTGGTTGGGGACTTGGCCATCTGGAGCAGCTCTGTACGAAGTAACAAGCAAGTCGTAGCTGAATGAATGCAATCTGAATAAATCAGATCAGAAAACAGTCTTAATATATATTATATTTAATGTATTAATATTTAATATATTACATAGTCTGTAGTATCATATGATAACAGTATGTTTAGAACTGCTTTGCAAAGGTGGTTACCCTTAATATCTCAGAATATGGTATAATTAAGGTGATACTTCTGTTATCATGCTGACTACTGTGTTTTAAAGAAAAAAAGCTTTTTTTCTGTGAGCTAATCTAGCTATGTATAAAAAATTGCATATGAATATTGCATACATATTAAAACAATTAAAATTGTATTTTAATTATTAAAACAAAATGTAAAAACCAAGGTTTTGGTGATCTTGTCTTTTTTTTTTTGTAAATGAATAATTTATTTAATTTCTAATAGAGTAATTCTGAGGATGAGGAAAATGATGACTCAAAATCGCCTGGAAAAGGCAGGAAGAAAATAAGGAAAATTATTAAAGATGATAAGCTCAGAACAGAAACACAAAATGCACTTAAAGAAGAAGAAGAAAGAAGAAAACGCATTGCAGAAAGAGAACGAGAAAGAGAGAAATTGAGAGAGGTATGTTCTGTTTTCCTTGCAAAACATTGCTAGGAAGATAAATTGCTGAAGATGTTTAAAATACCCTCTTTTTGTCTCAGTTTAATTTGGTAAGTAACTGCTAAAGCTGCTTGCTTGTAACCATGTAAACCATGATTTGAGTTGTAATTTCCTGTACATTAGGATTTGTAAGTTTTATTTAAGATTACTGATAAGTTATTTATTGCCTATTACAATTGTCTGATATTTTACGTTTCATGGGGTGGGGGGAGGCTCCTTGAAACAGGCCTGCAGTGCAAAGAGTTGAAGGTTTGCAAAATGCTTAGTGAAGTGTGAAGTGTTCCTACTATGCACTGTTTCTGCTTCCAGGTGATAGAGATAGAAGATGCTTCACCTCTGAAATGTCCAATTACAACTAAGCTGGTTTTAGATGAAGATGAAGAAACCAAAGAACCATTAGTGCAGGTTCACAGGAGTATAGTTACCAAACTGAAACCACATCAAGTAGATGGTAAGGAAAAAAAAGAAGTGTGTGTGTGTTTGTTTTCACCACGACAATATGGCTAATACAACCCAAATTAGAGTAAAACTCCTTGGCAGGCAAAAGGCAAAACGCAGGATTTGATATTTGTTTTTTAGAAGATCGAAATAAAAATAAATGAGATTAGCCATACATTATTCTGTTGTTGAGACGAATCTTAGGAATGTAAAGTTGGAAGGGGCCTCAGAATCATGCAGTTTCTTGCACACAAGCAAAATGAAATGCATGTTTGCCCTTCTGGAGAAAAAAAGGTCTGATTGGTTTTTACAGCTTTCAGTGAAGATTCCACAGTCTTCCAATGCTTTTTTATCTTTTGAGGACTTTTTGTCAGGAATATTTTTTCTAATACCTGAGGTTACTTCATTACAAGTTTCTCCATTGCTTATTCTTCTGGATTTTCCTCAAAAGGTTATCATCTACAACTTTTCCATTTTATTAGTAAATCTGTGGGCATAGTACAGTTCTTAAAGGAAGGTATCCTGAACCAAGTACAGCAGTGGAAGCCTCATTGGTGCTGAGTGTAGCAGAGTAGCATGCCTCTTATCAGCTGAATTTTAGAGATTTAATGATTTTTTTTTTCAAAAATGTTCCTCAGGTGTTCAGTTCATGTGGGATTGCTGTTGTGAATCTGTAAAAAAAACCAAGACATCTCCAGGTTCTGGGTGCATTCTTGCTCACTGTATGGGTCTGGGAAAGACATTACAGGTAAGGAACAAAAGTCTCCTTGCTTTCTGGTCTGTAGCTTGCTGTAGCATGCTGATCCAGCAAAATGCAATTTTAATAACATTCAAAACAGTAAAAATTTGCTGTTTCCTAGGTGATGTCCTAGGTAGTGACTTGATACGGGTTGATGAAAAATAGGTTTGTAAAAGGTATTCTGAAAGAGAGTTGATCACTGTCATTGTGCAAGTTCTGCTATTGGCCTATCTAAAAATTAAATCAGGAAATAATTTAGATTTATGAAAAGTTTATATTTAATGTGAAGTAATGTGAAGCTCCCTTGCAACTTGGAATAACAGAATTTAGATAGTAGTAGATCAAGGACCTCTGCTTCTAAGCTAGTTTAGTAATTAATCTTGAGCAGGTTGTAATGTTTTACAGTGCTTGTGATTTCGTTTGTTACTCTTCAAATTGTTCCTTTTCCTCAGTGTTTTTGGATTGATTTGCTACACTGCTAAAGTAGAGGTTTCTAGTGAATTTTTTGTCATTTAGTTTCTCATGTCAAGTAGGTTGTGGTTTAAGATAAACAGTGCTTTCTTACAGTTTAGACTGTCCTAGGTGGTTTGTTTTATTTTTCAGCAGTCATTCATCTGTACATTCATATTTTGGAGTCATTGTGCATTGAAAGCATTTAAGACAAGAAATCTTTATTGCCTTGAAAGTAACCATAGGAGTTTCAACCACTTTCAATTATTTTTTTGATTCTTTGTTTCTTTCTTTACAATTTACAGCAATGTAAAGCAAAAAGACTTTACAATTCTTTGCTTCCTGAGATCTTCAAGTTTAAGCCTCCTTTGTCACATCAGTGCATGTAGACTCTTCCTTCTACTCTACACTACTGAAGACCATTTCTTAAAATAGCATTACAGGATATTATAGCATTGATCAATATTATTTCCATATACCTGTGTCTGCTACAAGCCCCCTTTCTTCCATGGGTAAAAATGGCACAGTGAATCACTCTCCAGGTCTGTAAGTCTTTTAAGTCTGAACCTCACTTCCTATTTTCAAGTTTTTATTCCAAAACTGGTCACGGCTCATACCTCTCTTTCTTGGGCCTTCTACAGTCATTGCAGGCCTCAGGAAAATACTTATGCTCTGCCAAGTCACCTTGGACTTAAAAGAACTCAAAAGATATAAATTCAATAATTTCTTGAATTCCCTGCATTTCGATATTTAGGCCTGTATGTTCTGAGGATTCTATTTGCTTTTTTCAAAAAAAAAATCTCTCTATGTAAGTTTTGGGTTTGAATTTAGCCAAATTTAGCATCACTGCAAACGCTCTCTAAATTGTTTTCTCTAAAGCAATGGGGTGAGTTGCCTGTTTTGCTGATGTGCTGCCTCATTTGTTCCCAGGAGTTCCTTTGACAGAAGAACCCTTCCCTTTGCTTCTAAGAAAGGAGGAGGAATGTTTTTTTGAGATCTCTAAAGAAAGGAGAATAGTAGTCTCATCTATGCTGAAAAGGGCTGAACATTTACATTCATAGGTAGAAAGGATAGTGCCCTTAACTGATGTTATCCTGAGCCTTCAGCAAGGAATCTGTTTCATGCCCCTTGACCTGCAGGAATGTGACTGTCAGTGCATCTTTCCAGAAAAATCTGCTACTTACCATTAGAGAAGATTACTGCTGAGAAGAGCAGGGCTGTTTTGGTTTCCCTCTCATAAGCCTTCATATGGAGGTGGAACTTCCTGTGTTTCAACTTAAACCCGTTACCCCTAGTCCTGTCACTGGTCACCACGGAGAAGAGCCTGGCCCCATCCTCCCTACAATCACCCCTCGGGTACTTGAACATGTCAATCAAGTCTCCTCTCAGCCTTCTTTTCTCCAGACTAAACAGGCCAAGCCAGCTTAGTCTTTCCTCATACGACAAATGCTCCAGTCCCTTAATCATCTTTGTGACTCTCCGCTGGACACTCTTCAGAAGCTCAATGTCCTTCTTGTACTGTGGAGCCTAGAGCTGCACCCAGTGCTCCAGGTGTGGCCTCACCAGAGCTGAGTAGAGGGGGAGGATCCCCTCCTTGGACTTGCTGGCAAAGCTCCTCCTGATGCAGCCAGGATCCCATTGGCCTTCTTGGATACGAGGGCACATTGCTGACTCATGGTCAACCTGTTGTCAACGAGGACTGCCGAATCGCTCTCTGCGGAGCTGCTTTCCAGCAGGCCAACCCCTAATCTGTACTGCTGCCTGGGGTTATTCCTCCCCAGCTGCAGGACCCTGCACTTGTCCTTGTTGAACCTCATGAGGTTCCTCTCTGCCCAACTCTCCATCCTGTCTAGGTCTGTCTGAGTGGCAGCACAGCCTTTGGGAGTGTCAGCCACTCCTGCCAGTTTGGCGTCATCTGCAAACTTGCTGAGGGTAGTATTGCAGGGAACAGGAGATATCCTCATGTCTTTATCGGATCAATTGCCTCATGAAATGACTGTTAAAGGAAGGAATTTTCAAGTTACTGTGGACCTACTTGATTCTCTGGCAGAAGGTGAAAACTAGAAGTCAGATCTGCAGCTTCCACAGATTCTGGTATCTATTATAATTGATTTGAAGTCTGTATTATTTCAATCAGAGCCTTCTTCCTCCAGGATCAGTTCTTAACTATGCAATCACTTTTCATAACACTTCTATGTGAGGTTGTGGCTGTCCATTCTAGATCACATAGCAGCCTACCACCCTTCATTCTAGGTTTCTTCTTCAAATGGGCGCACTGCAGTCATTCCTTGGAGCTCAGTCTCTTTAGCACAGTGATGGTGGTTCTCAAAGAGGTTATTTTCTTCCTACAGTGAGGATGGAATCCTCAAAGCATCCATGAGGAAATGCCATCTCACCATCCTCTTCCATCTTGCTCAGTTGTGGTGAATGCTTCCCCATTGGATTGGGAAGCCCTATCACAACACCTGAAGGCTCCAGATCTTTTCGTTCATAGCGAGGTCAGTGTATCGGCATACTGGAATTCCAAGCTGTATAAAAGATATCTCAACTTTTCTGTGCCATAGTGAGATTCGTAACCTGAAAGTGACAACACAAGTGTTGCAACGTTGTCAGTAAATGCAGCAAACAAAATGCTTTACGATTCTGTTGACAGTCAGTTAGGCTTTGAGACTTCTCTGCTTGCTATGAGAATTGTCAGAAGTGTTTGCTTTCTTTAGTGCTCATCTGCCTTGCTGGTTGGCATTAAACATGTTCATCACACCTGGAAGCTACTAGACAGCAGACTAGACAGCTGCTAGATGGGCTTGGCTTGATATCTTCAGTATTACTTTTAGATATTTCGTGTACTCCAGAGAGAATCGAGCAGGAGCCGCTTATTCTTAGCTAGAATTACCTAAGCCTTACTGGATCAGATGCCTTCCCATTTCGTATGTTTTCATCTCTAAGGATCTTCAAAAAGCAAGGTAATATAGCAAATATATGTTCCTGCTCTTCTCTGACCTAGCTGAGGCAAATTCTGTTTAAGACTTGGTGATCTTGCTAGATTTGGAGAATCTTCTTTCTTGACCTGGGAATTGCAAGATGCAGGAGCTGTTGTGGAGCACTTCAGGTTGGAATAACACCTTTATTTACATGCCTCTGAAGAAAAAAAAAAGTCATGGAGCTACAGAGGAGCAGGGGGGCTGCAGTCATTCTGTATATGTGTTATTCAGGTAAAACAAGCTTCAATCTTAAATGCTTGTGTTGCCCAATCTATGGACAGTATGATTCTGTTAAGTCCAATTGCTGATATTTAGCTTTGTTTATTAATGTTGAGACGACAGACACAAGATTTTGTCCACCCACAGTCCTATAGAAATGGATTTTTGCACATGCGTCAAAATTCACCTTTGAACAGTGTTTTACATACCTAATTCTGACTTAGGAATTATGGTTCTTCAGGACTTAAATTACACCTTATGCTGGAAATTTGCAAGGCACTGCAGAATATTAGAAATGAAATGAAGTCTGTGTTACTTTATATACTATATACTTAAGTAAATTTATAGTATTTCATAGCAGAAGATATTTGTCTGTGTGATCCACGTGTGTTTGTAAGGTTTGACAGTATTTTTGATCGTAACTTCTTGATGAAAAAAAGCCACAATGAAAAGTATGTATTAGTTATTTTGACTGTTACAGCTGAGGTAACTGTCCTTTTTTATGTGGTTCTTTGCCAGTGCTTCTGCCGTACTCTCTTAGGGTGTTTGCCATTTAGCTCTTACAAAAACTAAAATCAAAGATGAGTTTTTAGAAGACTCTTCTAAGTTATGGAGAAGAATATCAGTAAAGGGTCAGGGAAATAAAGCAGTTAGGGACTTGCTGGCTCTCAAGGATATAGGACTTGTGTCATCAGTCTTTCAGGTACATTCTTTCTGCATCTGAACATAAGATGCTTTCATCTTAGTAAAATCACTAGTATTTCTTTCATTATTATAGCATCTAAAAGCTTGTTTGAAGAAGACTTGGTGAGTTTTCTATGTGAATATATATGTGCTTGTATATCTCTGTTCTGGATATTACTACTCAGTGCTTTATTTTGGATTTGTTTGTGTTTTCCTCTTGTAGGTAGTAAGTTTTCTTCATACAGTCTTACTCTGCGACAAGCTGGATTTCCGGACAGCTCTGGTAGTATGTCCACTGAATACTGCCTTGAACTGGTTGAATGAATTTGAAAAATGGCAAGAAGGTTTAGAAGATGATGAGAAACTAGAGGTATATGGCTTAAAAAGAGTTGTTAAAAATGAGCAACTTTTACATAATTGGCTTGCATAGTTGGCAAGGTCCATCACTCAAAACATAGGTTAAGGAATGCACTTTCTTTGAAAAATGTACTTAAAATAATATGCTTTTGGAATTTAAACGCTATGCCACTATTTGGTGTTTTCAAGAGCAGATTTAAGCATACTCTTCTCCCTTTGAAAGGTCTGTGAATTAGCAACTGTGAAACGCCCTCAAGAGAGAAGCTATATGCTCCAGCGTTGGCAAGATGAAGGAGGTGTGATGATAATAGGCTACGAGATGTATCGCAATCTTGCACAAGGCAGAAATGTGAAGAGTAGAAAACTTAAAGAAATATTTAATAAAGCTTTAGTTGATCCAGGTGGGTGAAAGTTAATGCATGTATGTGCTGTATATGTTATGGTTCCTGGTTTGATTATGTGAGCTAAGTAATCAGGCATGTGGGAATCTGTTTGGAAAGTTATTTTAAAAATAATGTTGGTGAGGGATTTTGAGGGGAGGTTGTTGCCTTTGCTGAGGTACAGAAATAGTTGTTCAGAAACCACCCCTTGCGCTTTTGTAAGTAGACTGTCCATGATTTTGTATATTAGGTCAACTAGAAAAACGAACATAGGGGTAAGGTTGCCTGTGACTATTACAGATGAGGCAGTATCTCATGTGACCTGCCCCCTTGTGAATCTTCTTTTTTTTGTTGTTCTGTTCTTTTTCCAAATCTATGTAGACATTCTGGTAGCACTGCTAGGTTACTAACTTGTGTAGATGTAATTAAGTTAAAAAATGGCAGCACCCTGAGCATTGACAGCTTTGGATAATTTCACAAGAAAAAGGAAAAGAAAGATAAGAACAACTGATCTTTCTGTTAGCTTGGTTGGTTGGTTGGTAAAAAGGAATCATGCTGTTGGGCAAACTAATGATGAAATAACTGAGTAATTATTTTTATATTCCTGCAAGTTTTTCTCTATTGAAACTAATGACAAAAAGGCAAAAAATGTGGTTTTGTTGGTATCCAGTGTTTTCTGGATGCATTTTGTTTGGCTAAACTAGTGGGGAGTATCTTGCAAGACTCACTAGTTGTTCCTCCCTGTCCCTGTGAATTGCAGCATTGGCCACGTATCTGGAAAGGGGAGTTACGAAGCCCTGGGTTGGCTTATTGCTGAGGCTATAAAAGAGAAAACCTTTGCCCTGGGAGCAATTTTCATTTTAAAAAGTGGCAAATCTGGTATTTGAGTGAAAATTTAATGACATGTGACTGGTTCAGCTGATTGCTGTTAGGGTAGATATATTCTCTAGTAGTAGCTTACATTGCCCTCTATACGACAGAAGAGGGGACCAGAAAGGGCAGGTTTAGGGAAGGTTTATAGGGGTGGAAATAGTGTGAGAAGTGATTTCGTTAATTAACTAGCTCTGCTTCGTGAAATAACAGTGGGATTGCACACTCGTGCGAGGCAAGGAATGACTTCCCACAATGCTCCGTGCTCTGCTAAATTGCTCTTCGGTTTATTGAGAGCTGTTGTGTTGTGCTTGCAGCATATCCATAATTTTATTTCTGTATGTGTTAATACTAGTAAAAATTCCATTACTGTTTAACTTGGCAAGAGCTCTGTAACTGACATTTGTACAAAACGGACTTAAGTTCTTGTAGACATCAGATAACAGAAGAATCCATACCATGCACTGAGCTTATACCAGTCGTTGGTATAAGATCCCCTTGCTCTGCAGGAGACTCGAGCCTCGAGGTGGTTCACAATGGGGTTCATAGAAAGAATGGGTCACTAATAAGAGACGTTTGCCTGAAATTAAGGGAAAGGAAGACTTTGCAGTGGCGTGAGTGCTCTTCACACTGCGGAAGGCACAGAGGTCTTGAAACAGTTTAGGGAAACGTTTCTGGGACACGTTTGAAAACTCACAAACAAGTAAAATCAGACTAGTGTAAATGTGTTTGGAATTCTTTTAGCTAGTGGATTTTCGTAGTTGTCTTCTACACCCGCTTAAAAAGATAACTTTTTTTCTGCTTATCCTAGAATGTCTTTTATTCTTCCCAACTTCCAAAAATTGCTCCAGATCTTAAAACCATCAGATTGTTTAAATCTGTTCTGCTGAGTTTTGTATTCTTTATCTGAAACACCAGTTTCTAACATTTACTAATTCCGTGGTTGCTCTGTGTGCTGTGTGTGCCTGTCATGCTGTGTTTGGCACTCCTTGTGCTCCTTGTCTAGGATTTCAGTCTAGCATCCTTGGCTTTATCTTTTAGAAAAAGCTTGTGGACATTTCACCATGACCTTCAGCTACACAGTGGCAATTTATTTCTGTGTAATTCAGATCAGATTTGATTGTGTGTCTGTATCTTAGATAATATTTTGAATTACTCTGTTTAGCCATATCAGTACTCATCTGCTCTCTTACTAAAGCAAAAAAGAACATATGGCTACCTGAATTTAAGTTTTGTTGCAATTTACTGGTGACCAGTAGATGGCAGCAGAAGCTGAATTTAAGAAATAGTTTTATGAAATTTTAGCAAGGTGAAAGAACATATGTATGTATGCACACTTGGTGCACAGAGAGTTTTTATAGGAATATATCACCAGGCTTCATTTAATCACTCACAAAGATTTTAATAAGCGTCACCCTTGTTTACCACGCTAGCTACTGTGAATACCTGTGTAAGGGTTAAACAAAAACTTTAATATTGCTAAAGCAAGGCTCTTGTGTAAACATAATAAACTTCAGCAAGACCAAATTGGGTATCCTTAGGCCAACAGCTCCTTTGTGATCTTAAAAGACCTGAGATCTAACGTTGTTATTTCTTTCTAGGCCCTGACTTTGTTGTTTGTGACGAAGGGCACATACTAAAAAATGAAGCATCTGCAGTTTCTAAGGCAATGAATTCTATTCGATCTAGGAGACGAATAATTCTTACAGGAACACCACTGCAAAATAATCTTATAGAATGTGAGTATTTTTCTCTGGTTTAAGAAATGCTTCTTTTCCTGAATATAGCTTTGGCCTCAGCAATATATAATTTGAATCAGTTGCAGAAATTTTCATGAATATGATTTTGTCATATGATTATGCTGGTGTGTATCAGCCCTCCTCAATTTCTGTGTAGTATCTAAGATGAGATTGTTTTAAATCCGACATTAAATTTTGAAGTTACCTCTGTTTAAAGTATGTATTGCTTTGAGATGTCTTTTACTGAAGATATTGTTTGTAATTTTTTTTTTGTTCATCAGAAGATATTTCTTAGATAAGACATTCATTTTCTGTTAGAACTAACACTTCCATTAGTACTGTACTTTTGAACAAAAAAGCCTGATATTTCTGTTCTAGATCACTGCATGGTTAACTTCATTAAGGAGAATTTGCTTGGCTCAATTAAAGAATTCCGGAATCGATTTATAAACCCAATTCAGAATGGTCAGTGTGCAGATTCTACTCTGGTAGACGTCAGAGTAATGAAGAAGCGTGCACATATTCTGTATGAGATGTTAGCTGGATGTGTTCAGGTAAGAGCTGTTTAATTATCTAGATTAGCTGGTTGGGAGAGGAATTATTTAATTTTATTCTAATATAACATTTAATGGACAAATACTCTGTAAATCTGCTATTAAAGTGGTCTCTTAAATGCAGCCGTCACTTTTGACGGTGACCAAAAATACGTAATTTTTATCAAACGTCAGTGTTTCTTGACCAGGACATACACATATATTAGGGAATACAGCTTTTTTTCTGTTAGAAAGTTGTATGGTAGAGAAGGACGAAAGATATTTTGAAATATCCTAATTTCATGTTAAATAATTTTAAACAATACACATCTAAAAACTGCCTGGAATGTTGGTGGTCCATAGTTAGTCACTTGGTTCTGGACTCCTGTCTTTTTAATTTGTGATAATTAGGACAATTGGGAAGAGGAAGGAAGGATGATTAATGATGTCTAAAAGGGTGGAGAAATAATTGGCTCAAAAACCTTAAATTTGAAAGAAAGCCAGAAAAAGAACCTCCTGGATTTCCTAAGTGCAGGCTGGCTCCTTACTCTTCAGTTACCTTGGTGGGATATTGCACCTTACATAGAAGTGCAGTAGGCACTAAGTATAGAGAAATTGCATACCCTAAAACAGACAGCTATTACCTTCAGTGGGATAGTCGGTTAATTTCTGATATAAACATTAGTATTAAATAGCTTCACCTACTTAAACTTTCACGAAAAAAGCTTTAGCATTAAAAAAAAAGTGCAATTGTGCTGTTATCAGAGCAGCTGTTGAAGCTGCAGTCACCTTTGCAAGGATGTGGAACTGAGACATGGGGTTCACTAATCCTGACCAGGTTTGTCTAGATGCTACTGTGCTTCGGTAGTTTGGACTAGTCAACCATGAATACAGAGGTAGGAAGGGTTCTTTGTGAACAGTGCTTGTATTTAGTGTGTTTTTGTTTTGTTTTTCACTTTGTGATTGGAAAACATCTGAATTATTGTAATATATGCAAGGTAATTTGTCATTTAAAATGCCAGAAGTTTTTAAGCTCAGCATAGTAATTTTGTGTTTACGACTAACGTTGTGTTTGTAAAATTACAGAGGAAAGATTACACAGCGCTAACAAAGTTCCTACCACCAAAATATGAGTACGTGCTAGAAGTTAGAATGACACCTATTCAGTGCAAGCTGTACCAATACTATCTGGATCACTTGACAGGTATGTAACAAATACTCAGGATGTGGTTCATCTTTTTTTTTTTTTTTTCCCTTCTTCTAAACATAAAACATCATTCATTCAATGTCTTTCTCTTCAAAGAAACAAATTATCAACGGTAAGATTGGAAGGCTAGTGCTAAAGCTAGAGATACAGCGTTGTAAGTGCACTGCAGAGCCATCCAGTTTCCTTTTATCATCATGCTAGTTGAGGCTGTTATTTGCCAAATATTTATGCTTTTGGGGAACTGTCTCCTCTCTCATTCTCAAAACGCACAAGTCTCTTTCCCAGTGATCATGCTTTTCATCAGCTTTCATTTCAGTCTTGACTGGTCTGTCTTTGAAGACTTCTTCCAAATTAAGAATAAACTTGTTTAATGAAAAGGATATGTAAGGGGAATAAAATATATGTGCTGTGAGCTGCTTTGCTGTTCACATCGTATTGGAGAGACAACCACTCAGGCTTGTAACTTAGTATATGAAGATACCTAAATCCTAGCAGCACTTCTGAAGTCTGTCATGAGGGAAATCTTGAGGAGCTCTCGCTGAGGTTGTGTTTATGGTCAGTCCTCAAGCAACCACATTTCACAGCAGCAGCTTTTGGGTTCTTGATAAAATACTGTTTATAATAGAGTTAATGATCGGGGTTGAATTCCATAGTCAGGAAGGCATTGATGATAGGCAGGCTTGTGTCTAAACCTTTAAAGCATGTCTTTGGTTTTTGCAGTGGCTACAAAATGTATTACAGAGTCTGTTAGGCCAGTTTACTACTTTTGCTTTTTTGTGCTTGGTAAGGCACATGTAAAGCTGCTGTATTTTATTTTTTATAAATAGTTTACATTAACAGTGCTTCAAAACAGTATATTACCAAACCTAAACATTTATGTAGTGCTTGTTCCTAGCGAGTCCTGTACTGCAGTTGGTGCTGCCTGGGATTCTTTTTATAAAAAAGTTCTGAGAAGAAGCTGTTTCGTATTCTGTTCATTTCTTCTTTCCAAACAGCTCCCTTCAGTTCATAGCTTAAAAATAAAAAGAAAAGCATTAGCTATTTACTTTACAGGCACACGTGTGGGTGATTCAGCTTAAATTCCTGTTGTTCTTAGCAATCTTGCAGGGCTGTTTTTGTAATTTCAGGCTGTACAACACAGGGTTTGTTGCTCTCCTGTGCTTTGAAATGGCAAAGTAGATCTCCTGCAGATCATTGATTAGCTCAAGAGCTAGAGCTGTGTGGTTGCAAGTGCTTTTTTTCTTCCTCTATGCAGAAGCCTTTATTATACTTACTTTATTTTTTGATAAGCAGTCAGCAGATAAGAGGAAGTAGCCCCTAATCCAGTGTCTGTCAAAGTCAAGGGCTGGTCCTGTTTAACACCCTAGTCCTTAGCAGGTTGATTCACTGCCCTGAACTGGTAGAAAGCTTTTTTTTTTTTTTTCTTTTTTTTTTCCTTTTTTTTTTTTCTTTCTCTCTATTAATTTGGAGTTAGTTTCCTACCAGTTTGGCCTTTTGAATCAGACCATCCAGGGATCAGTACCAGAGACAATCAGGAAGAGGAGGGAAGTGAGATGGGGGGAAGGAAGAAGGGACTGCCTCTTTTAGAGGAAGCAAGCTGTCTTCTCCAGCTGTGACCTCTGGGATTTCTATTAAATACAAACCGAATCTTCATGTTGAAGACAAAAGTAGTAGGGGAAGTTTTCCATCTCACCTGTATTTTTAATGATGTTTTCCTTTCCCATAGGCTATTACAAAGACATAGAACTAAATTATACATACTTCAGGTGCAATTTTACTAAGTCAGTTTTCCTTTGTATCACAAGAAGAATACATGTTTTATTTGAGTGGTTCTTTCACAAAGAAAATAACGGTGTAGACTCTGTTAGGGCATACTAGCTCTGAGTTCAGCGCAGAAAGTTCTCTGATGTTAGTTCAGGATGAGGGAAGATAAACCTGCTTTTCTTGCAGTCAGGTTTACCAGAGACGGAAACAAAAACGGGAAGAAACCTGCTATAAATCTACAAAAAAATTGCTTTATTAAAATGCTTATATTCTGTGTTTTACTGGGATTGCCTTGCCTGTCTGACAAATGTGCAAGATAACCTTTGTGTCTCTTTTGTTACGGTTACCTGATAGTTTTGTTTTCTTGTAGTTAGATATGCCTTAAATGATGTACCTATAACAAATATGAAATAATAATTATTAGCAATAACCATGAAATATGATCAGATTCGAGAGCTTTAAGTTAATATGTTGCTTAATGAGTAACTGAGGCTGCAAAGAATAAATATAGCTCTGTGAACACTTCTCTGCACATTTGGGCTTGAACAAAGAAAATAGGCTTAGATACTTTACTAGCAGATGAAGGCAGACAAACAAAGCTAGCTGAAAACAATAAGACAAATTCACTGAAGGCTAAATGCAAATTTTACTTTGCTTTCTCTAGCCTGGGCTGCTTTTTAAGACCTACTTCTGCAAAACTGAAGCAGACATGACTATCCTATTAACAGGATTTGGATTCATTCCTATATTGGGGAGAAATGCACTTCTATGTAAAAATGTAATCATGTTTCTCATTATCAAGAAAAGGGGGAAATCTAATTTTGACAACTTTAACTAGGAAAGAAATGCCTGGGACTGAGTAATTCAACCTCTTTTACAAGAGACGTTACAATATGATGTGCATCTGGAAAGAACGCTCAGTACTGAGCTAATGGGTTGTTCAAAGGGGAACAGTATGTGGCAAACTTGCTTCAAGGTTCGCCCTAAAATCTGAACTTTATTGTCAGGTGTAGGTGGTGGCAATGAAGGTGGAAGAGGCAAAGCTGGAGCTAAGCTATTCCAGGATTTCCAGATGTTGAGCAGAATCTGGACTCACCCTTGGTGTTTGCAGCTGGATTACATTAGCAAAGAAAATAAGGTAAATTAGATATATCAAAATACTCTCTACTGAGAACTTTCCAAATAAGCTATGCCAAATGTTAGGTAAAGTTTCATCAAATTAATGGAAATCTTTGTTGCTGTGGGGTAGAGTGATTTTGCTGCTGTTTTTGTCATATTGTTATTTCTGGATATGCTGTCATTCTTAAAACATTTTGCAAGGCCAGTCCTTTGTGGAACTTACCGTTGTTTAAATGAAGAATGAGCAGGTGGCTAAAGGTTTAATAAAAGCTTCTGCATGAGAGTACTTAATAAAATTTCTGTTTTTTCTCTTTTGAGGGCTATTTTGATGAAGACAGTCTGGATGAGTTCATAGCTTCAGATTCCGATGAAACTTCAATGAGCTTAAGCTCTGATGATTATGCAAAGTAATTGAGCTTTTATTTGTTGTTTGTTGTTGGATTTATTTCCCTAATAGAACTTAAGTGATTTGGTTTTGTTTTTTTTAAAGTAAATGTTTGTTTTATTTATATAACCTTCTATTGCAGTAGAATACTTTTGAATTATAAGGGAGTATATAATTTTATCTTTCTAGGAAAAAAAAATCCAAGGGGAAGAAAGTGAAGAAGGAGTGTAGCTCAGGTGGAAGTGGCAGTGATAATGATGTCGAAGTCATTAAAGTCTGGAATTCAAGATCTCGTGGAGGTGGGGAAGGAAATGCAGAGGAACTTGTGAACAACCCTCCGTCTGTTGCAAAGTCAGATGAAGGTGAGTGCAAAGTACCAGTAAACCGCATAAAATGCAGGGTAATTTTGCAAAGGTTGTTTCAAGGGAGCTGTCACAAATTCTGCTTTATTGCACAAAGTGGCAAATTCCCTTATTCAGCAAACCAATTCTATGCTTACAGCCCCTGCTATTTGTAGTGATACGTGCCTATTGGAAAAATTGTTTTAGATCTGAGTGGTTTTGTGGCAGGGACACTGAACAGTTAATTCTGGATTTCAAAGTACAAAGTGATATAAGGTTAGTACAGATCTGTGCTGTTTTTCATCTCTGCTTAACCATATTGATGAATTGATGGAAAGATTAAGAGATAAGTGTGATGGAAAGATTAAGAGATAAGTGTGTCGTGCATTGTTGCACCTGGAATTTCAAATGTTTTTTTTTTTTTTCTCTCCTGTGTGTCTGTATATTTCATTTTGAAATTTTTCTTTAATAATCAATCAAAGTTCTGATTTTCTGTATCACAAAGCTAGTCTTTTGACTGGATCATTTCTTATGTGTCTAATAGGTGTATTAATGTCTAGTGCCTTCCATAAGTACATGATTTTTTTTTTTATGAAAATGAGAAATATTTTTTCTTTGTTCCTGACTCTGGCAGTCATATATTGTAAGCGTGCAGTGGGAATTGTGTGTGCGTGAGAAATATGTACACATATAGATTTTAATTAAATGTGTTAATTACTTGCATTATTGGAGGATGAGTTTTTCAATACTGATCATTTAAATGTTTAGATCTGTCTCTTGCAGCTTTGTCCAATTTAATAGGAGTGTAGAATTTCTAAACAAACATTTGCTGCTGTACCAGACAGGTCTGAGGGCAGCCTGGCAATCTCATTTCAAATGACGAGGGCCCTTTTGCAAAGTTTAGGGGTGAAAATGGGAATAGATGGTGTAGGTAGCATTTTCCTGCTGCACATACAGGTCACTTCTTTGGTTAACATGTTCATTGTTCACTCTGGAATTGAAAAATATATTCTTTAGAAGACTGTAGGAAGGAAGGCTTCAATGTGAGTTTTGTCAAGATCAGTTCTTTCTTGCCCCCAAGATGTTACTGCTATGTCGTGATTGAGTCCCTAAGTGTAGTCCTAAATTTAAATGCTTTGAATTGCTCATGAGATGGAACACTTTTCTCCTACAATGTAAGTAAATACTTCAGTCAGATCAAAGTTTTTAAGTGCAAAAAGTTCAGGTTATATTTCTAATTAATCAATCCATATCACTCTAATGCAAAAGAAGTTAAACCAAAGGCCATACAATACCAGAAAATAAATTAAGTAATATAAACAAAGATAATTTCTGGTTCCTGACTGCCTTTCTGGTTCAGATTATAAAGCTGAATATAAGCTTTCTCCTGGTTGAATTCAGCAGGGTTTCAGAATAGAGATAATGTATCGTATCGTTAAAGGTGGACGTGCTTTGCTTTGGATGCTTTGGAGTGGCTGATTTAGACCCAGAAAGACTTAACATGTTTTACTTGGTGTGCTGTTATTTTGGTGTAGTTATACAGTGAGAAACTGAATTTTTACAATTCTTTCTCATACTTTTGTAATTCAGTTCAGTCAAATTACCAAAGCTAGTTTCCATCATCCACTAACTTGTTAAAAACAGGGTTGTTCCCAAGTATGTGTTGTAGGTTTTATTAGTGTAGCAGTGTTTCAGCCGTCCTGCAGACAGTAAGATTTTATTAAAGAACTTCACAAAAAGTCAGAATATGATAGTGATTTTTTTTCTGCTAGTGTGAATTACAAAAAGGTGAAGTTTTAATACGAAAGGGAGAAGTTTTCTTCCCAGCATGCAGCATGAGCTAGGTAACTCAAAGACTTTTCTTTTTCCAAGAGTTGGAGGTGTTTGAATTAAAAAAATTGCTTTAACTGTTGTAACACTTATGGATTAGTTTCAAAGATACATACTTGTAGGAAACAAAGCTGTACATAAATACTCTGGGGAAAAGATCCAGGTGACAGCTATTTCTCTGAATATTCCATACATAAAAATGAGATTTGTGCTTGCCGTTGGTAACTGGAGGAATTAAACTGCTAATCTAGAAGTCTTTTTTTTGACTGTGTATTCTACTCAGTTCATAGCAGCTAATAATGAGGAATTAGTTTTGCAATCTTGAAGGTTTTTTTTTTAAAGTATTTACACAGTCTCATGCTTTCAATTTTAGTTTTAATTTAATTTTATTTTATTTTATTTTTTGTACAGGTAAAGCCACATCCTCTTCCAATCCTGGTAGCCCGGCTCCGGATTGGTACAAGGATTTTGTCACGGACGCAGATGCTGAAGTGTTGGAGCATTCTGGGAAAATGGTGCTTCTCTTTGAAATTCTTCGGATGGCAGAGGAGCTTGGAGACAAAGTGTAAGTCAATTTTAGAAGCAAATATTTTTAAGGACTATATAAATACAGAAGTCTGTTTTCTTCATTCAGTCTTTGTAATACTGTAGCTCAGTTTTCTGAAATAAGTATGAGAGAGTTTTCGTGTACGTGCTCATACTCCGTGGAAGCCATTAACTCTGTCTAGAAAACCTGTTTGATTCAAGGTAATATCAGGGTAAGGAAGGAAGAAAAAGAAATCAATGCAGTGATTTAAATAACTTCTGAGTTTAATTTTGCATATTTCCTTGTTTCTGATTTCAGCCTCGTATTTAGCCAGTCTCTAATATCACTGGATTTGATAGAAGATTTCCTGGAGCTGGCCAACAGGGATAAAACTGACAAAGAAAAAACTTGTGTTTATAAAGGTGAGTGCCAACAAGACCTGCTACAAAGCTAATGACTCTTTTACAACTCTGTTCAGCCCTAAAGGGATGGGGTTTGAATAAATAGTTTTTTCTTAGAAATATTGTATACTTTCTACCATGTCTGAAGTCAGCAAGGCCTCTGGTCTGCTGTGTACCTTGCCTGTGCTATATGGACTCTTGCTTCTGAAATCATGCTCTATAATTTGTGTTTAATACACCCTAAACAAATTAAATGCTGATCATCTAAAAGGAGAGAAGGCATTTTGTTAAATTTACACAAAAGTGATCTTGTGTGCTGATCTGTGGTGAATTCCAAAACTTCCTGCTGAGAGAGATGCTGAAGGAGAAATATACTGCTTTATAGCAACATGTGTTTTGAGACTGAATACAAAATGGCAACTTAGGCTAGGTATTACAATAGATTGTTTTATGGATTCCATGAGGGAGCAATGGATTGAATTAATCGTTTTCCTGGCGGTGCTTGAATGGTGAAGAATTTCTCACTAACGGTACGCATCCTGCATATGGGAAATTTCTCCCCACTGCTCTTGAGGATTTCAGTTCATTTTTATATGGAAGTTTAAGTTCACAGTATATGTGGATTGAAGAGCTTCTCTGAATCTGTCATTCTTTTCAGATATCTCTAAGTATAAACATGTTGCACAGCTGTATAACAGAAATTTGGCTTAGCAATATCAGCGACGTAGTTGGAGGAAGATCCTGCAGTATCTTTCACACAGATTTATTGTTCCTGGCTGCTGCTACTTCCTTAGCTTCTGAATATTTTTCATCTTCAGGTTTTGAGTTGCTGGTATTTTTAGAGTCTGCAATTAGACTATGTATTATAATAAGAGTCACCACTTATAGACCTTCTGGGTATGACTCAACAAAATGTTTCTTACAGTTAGTTGTCCTGAGCAGTGCTTCTTCTTAAAATAAAATAGAGCTATTAGCTATTTTAATTTTAATTGATGACACGGTGGAGTTTGTTTTGTTTGCTTATATACTGCCAAAGAAAAGGGAAAGTTAATTCTGAATTGCAGGGGAAAGAAAATCTGCTTCTGTCAGCTGTAGTTTCTGTATATTTTTTGTCTGGTAAGAACTAACCATAACTCACAAGATAATTAAAATTAAACAGCTGATTTGAACTTCAATTCCAAAATGATTTGAGCTGGACTTTTGAAATGTCTTTATAAGCATTTGCTTATAGATGATGTATATCGGAGACTTTTTAAATGCTATTGACATTATTTATATTATTCTACTCTTGAATTATTTTAGACAAAATGAGTTTATGGGTGGTGGGAATTACTGTAGTAAGGGCTTGTGGGTGATCACTGTCCTCACAAATGCAATTGCTGTTATTTTCGCTTACCTTTATAGGGGAAGGGAAATGGTTCAGAAACATTGATTACTATCGCTTAGATGGTTCTACTACAGCTCAGTCAAGAAAGAAATGGGCGGAAGAATTCAATGATGAAACTAACGTGAGGTGAGATCTGTACTAATGTATATGATAAATGTTTTACCCCTTTCTTTTATTTGTTCTGTATTTCTTTGTTACTTGTTACTTTGCAACTTAATAACATGCAGATAAAATTACAAGGGTGCCAGGTGCAAAACTTAATATTTTTGTTTTAAATGTGCAACTGTTCTTCCCCAATCCTTAGTGTGCATATTTGTTTTCTTCAATACCTGTGGCCAAATTTTATATTGCTTTGGGGGAGAATTCTGTATTCACCTTCTCTATTTGCTGAAATCACCTGCAGGCCTTTTCTCTGCTCACAATTCACTTCCTTTTAATTTCAACTGAAATGGTTCAATCATGTTAAAGAAGAAACTAAGGAAATATATAGGTTTTTATCTGTCTTTGCATTTGAAATCTTCCAGCTGTTTCTTTGAGCCAGTCTCCTGTTTCTGTGTTTTGAATCAGTTTCTCTAGCAGATCAGCAATCTCTGGCTTGAGTTCCTTGGCCTCTTGGATTCTCCTGAGTTCCAGTGGCTTGTTAACATCTAACTGATCTGTTTGGTCTAATGCTTATGATGTATTAACTTCTAATTGATCTACTTCCTATGACCTTCCTGCTTCAAAGAATGCATGAGGTATAGGAATCTCGCCACCATTTTCATCAGTAAAGACCAATGCAGGGAAATTACTGAGCTTCTTTGCTATGGCCTTAACCACCCCAAAGCCTCCTTTCCCACCTCTGTCATCAGGTGGTTCCTCTGATTTCCTAACTAGCTTTTACTGCTTTTGACACATTTAAAACATCTTTCTCAAGTCAGTTTTCAAACTCCTTTTAACGCTCTTAATTTCCTGTTTATATTTGACATGTTGTGTTTTATGGGCTTTTCTATTCCCATTTGGACTAATTGTCATTTTTATAATTTTATAAATGACAGCCTTTTCTCTGTGGAATATAGCCTCTCTTTGCCTGTCATACACAGTTTACCTCAGCCTTTATGGAAGTGTTTGGAACAACCTTTAGGCTGCCGACAGGCATGATTTTTTTTTGGCCTCCTCCTTTTAAGGGCTTGGAAAGGCAGAGGTCATTTTTTTACTAATCTCTTCATTTGTATATAGTCCTCTTTCTAGAAATTGAGTATTGTGCTGATTTTATTTGCATTGCTTCTTGTTACAGTGTTAAACCAAAATACACTGTGATTATTATAACACGGTGTTCTGTCTCTAATACCTCTTGAGCAATGTCCTGTGCAGCATTTAAGATCACAGCTCGAATAGTTTCCTTTCTTGAGGGAAAACTGTTTCCTTTCCAGAAAACAGTTTCATTTACTCTGTCGAAAGACATTATCTCGCATTTGACCTGATTGATCCAATCTATACCTCGTTATCTTTTACAAGGTCTTTAAAATGGGACACATTTTTCTTCTTGGAATATTACACTTTTTTTTTTCAAGAAAATAGTTTTAAGTGAATAACTAATATTTATTGGATGTAAAATCTCTGTTTCTATGTGCTACTAATTTAAATGGTAACCACGTTGATATTTTAACTTGCATCTGTGTTTGCTTAAGTTAACTGTTTTAAAATACAGTTATTTATATTAATCGTGGAGAATACCAAGGTGCAAAAGATGACTGAGGGAATGCAAAATGTGCTCTTCAATAGTAAGTTATTTAGCTTGGTATAAGAACTGTTCTTAAACTGAGCTAAATAATATCACAAAATATTCAGGAAGAAAACTGGTGTACGTAGTTGTGGGTATAATGTGGTTTTGCTATTATTGAGGAGAAATATGCTTGAAGTTGAGAGGTTGCCCTTGCTCGCACGGGTCGTGAGCACTTAGCCAGCTGCAAAGGATGCTCAGAGTGGTTTGTTAGCGGGTGTAGCTCACTTGTCTTCTCACCTCAGCTAAACATAAAGATGAAGAATGATAAATGGCGATTTTAGTTTGGCAGGTACCTTTTATAAAAATACAATGCCCATATTTTGTACTATTTTTTAATACTATTTCTTTAGCACAACTGTAACAGATAATTGCACATTGATGGGAAAAGGCATTTCGATAGGAACAAGATTTTCAGCAACTTTCATCTTTCCCATTTTTCTGATGCCATTAGAAGGATTTTTAGAATTAGATTTTTGCAGAAAAATTAATGCTCACAATATCTGAAAGATTTCAAACTGTTCCAAAGTAAATAACATCTTTAAACTTCATCTCAGCTTAATGTGGTTGTCTCTTGTTCTGCTGAGGTGTTTTTTTCAGTTGCTTGGTTAAAAAACTGTTAAAAGTCTATCTGTGGCCACTGGCAGAGCTGTGCCACAAACGAAAAGGAAAGAGGTGATGCAGAGCAGACAGCGCAGGATTCTTCCCGCATCATGAACTGAAGCACTCCGTTTTGCTTTGGTGTTCAAGTGACCTGTAGGAAATGCTTCCTATGAGTATGGTGATGCAGTTCCCGGTCCTTTTTAAATTTTTTTTCCCTAATAAACTTAAGTTTGTCTGTGTAATGGCCTGTGATGCAAATATGACACAATTCTATTTAAAATGCTAGAAGTTTTTTAAGGTAACACGTTTACTTTTCTTTTTGATTACCACTGGTAAGGTGTACAGGCGTTGTGGGGAAAGATGATCACACTTCTAGAAAAGACAGGGTTTTGTTTCTGAGAAAATACTGTGTATGTGAAGGATGGAGAAGCTCAGTATCCATGGGAAAAAAAAAAACAAAAACCTACAAGTTGGGATTTCCTGGGCTAATTAATTTAGATTATTTTTTTCCTTAAATTCTTTTAAGAAAAAATAAAATAGTTAGTTGCAGTCTTTTTAAATGTACAAAGAAAAAAGAAAATAACTTAAATGGATCAAAGCTAACTTATTCAACGTTAATTCAACTCTAATACTATAGTTTATTTTGGTAGGCGTATGTAAAGAGCTCGTTATAAGTTAAACCTGAGTGCTACTGGTGGTGAGGAAAAAACAGACATATCACAGACACAGTATCATATTAGAGTTATCCTTTGAGTTTGTTAACCAGAAAACAGTTTGAAAAATGCAGGGTATACTTGATTAAAATTATGCTTTAATTTGATATAACTTTTGGACTTTTATTATATTTTGAAAAAGCTGAAAATAAAGTGTTTTCTTACCCAGCATTTCTTGGTGAAAATTGACTTGTGAAAGTCTCTGGTTTGTATTCCTAAGCATGTATATTTGATTAGCTCTGAGTTTTGTCTGTGTAAAATCGCTATCTATTCTGTATTTAGTATGGTATTTTATTGAAATTTTTGAGTTATTTCAATGTATGAACAATTCCACAGAAGCAGAGCAACACAGGAACTGTAATTCATTCCCTAAATATTAAAATTGCATAATTTTTCTTAATTTCAGGGGCCGCTTGTTTATTATCTCCACTAAAGCAGGTTCCCTTGGAATTAATCTCGTGGCTGCTAATAGAGTAATCATCTTTGATGCCTCTTGGAACCCATCATATGACATCCAGAGTATTTTCAGGGTTTATCGCTTTGGGCAAAACAAACCTGTGTTTGTATACAGGTTTTTGGCTCAGGTATGTTTCTGTTTGATATTCTAGTGATATTCTGATCCTACAAGAAAATCCGTAACAAGTAATAGTTTGGACTTGAAGTCAGTAGTGCTTCTCACTGATTCAAAAGGCAATCTGGATTTGAAAATTTGTATCTCCACCTGTCAACCTTATAGGATAATAATTCTGATGGTCACTGATCTGTGCCCCTTTTAAGTATATTGGCATATTTCTGTTAAATACCTTCCAGGTGTTTTATGATAGACTGAAAACCTTTTGCCAGTAATAGTACTTAACTCTTGATCAAGTCACTTTTTCATTGCCAACTTAAATAGATTGCTTTTTGAAACACATTACTGAGACATGTTTTTTCTTTTTTCAGTCGTCAGTCTATTTTTGTAGGTCTTCATGTGCACTTTTGAACTGCTAGTATCCTTTTTAAATTGCAGTGTTCAGAACAGGCTGTGCTGTTCTCATACTTCACATAGCCCTCATCTTTTTTTTTTTTTTTTAAAAAAAAGGGAAAAAGGAAAAAAAATCTCCTTTTTTTTTTACCCCAAAGATCTAGTTTGTTCTTACACAGCTGTGATGAATTAGCCTTGACTGGCACTCTTCCCCCCTGCCATGCCAGCACTGTGTGGTATCTGTTTTCCTTTTTACAGGCTGATCAAGGTAGCAAAATAAGGCACATGCTGTGGAAATTGCCTTTTTTGTTGTTGTAATCACACCTGGGGGAGTTGAGGTAAAAGCTGATCTCTTCAAAACACTACTGAAAAAATATATTTCTTACTCTAGTCAGTAGACTGGCTGATGCCTGGCACATAAACTGTCCACATTACTCCTCATTCAGTCCCAGGAGTATGTATTTTCTTCTGAGCAACTGAAGAAAATTTGGGGGTTTATTCAAATAACTTTGTAGATCCTTGGTCCAAGAAATTGTGAAAATAGAGCACTGATGCACAGTTGTTACTCTTTTATGTTTCTTGATATATTGTTTTTTTCTTCTGTGACAGAAAGTGCAGTGCTTGTATGAAAGTGAGTGTCTGTGTTTTCCAGGGAACAATGGAAGATAAGATCTATGACCGGCAGGTGACCAAGCAGTCCTTGTCTTTCCGAGTTGTTGACCAACAGCAGGTTGAGCGTCATTTCACTATGAATGAGCTTACAGAGCTGTACACCTTTGAGCCAGATTTGCTGGATGATCCTAATTCAGAAAAGAAGAAGAAGAGAGATACACCCATGTTGCCAAAAGTAAGTTGATTCACATTGCAAAGTATTATTAAAACGGTAGGAAAAAAACTTAGGTCTGTTTAAGAGCGTGGAGCTCTCGATCTTCGGAGAAAGAGTGCTGTGAAGAGTGGTTCACTTTGAGGTAGATAGCAGGGAACATAGTGAAACATATAATTAATATAATGGATGATATAATGAAACTGGAAAAGAGAAGCTACATGCAAAAGATGTTTATTTAAAAGACTATATATATATATATATATATATGTTTCACACAATGTGAGTGAATAGAAGCTTTGCTGCAGGAGACCGGAAGCCAAGATTCAGAAGAGCAAACACTTCAGTGAGTGCTGGTGATATCCTCAATTACGGTAACAAATCTGCAAAGGGTTATTGTACTTCAGGGTCTGGATTTTATATACTTAGGTAAGACTTTGTAGTGGACAAATTAATACATGCTCTTGTTTTACCAAACACTTCTCTCTTTTTTTAGTTTCTTGTTTAACTCTTCTTGTAGAGAGCATTAATAGAGATAGTGCAGTAACACAGATAAAGTTATTTACTGCTTAAGTGACACGCAATGGATGTGGCACCCTTAATTGTGGGTCAGCATCACTGTTCCACTGAGTAACAGTTCAGCATCCTGTGGGATACTTGGGGAAACCTCCAAAAGCTATTAATCAAATTCAAAAATAAACTATAATTGTTACAATCAGGCAAAAATAAGCTTCTGGTGAAAGAATGACTGGGTCATTTATCCATTGTTTGGCATGTTAGTTTGCATTTAAGGTTGAACTGATATTTTGGTCCTTTGTGTAATTATATTCTTTATGTTAGGTGTTGTCCACACGCACTAGTGTCATGTGGTCTGCAAAAGACAAACTCATTGATAAGCTGTTGTGAGGTGGTTTTTCCTTTTTGGGTGAACAGCTGGTGTTTACTAACACTTAAATATATGGCCTGTGGTTAGATGATTGCATCTGTTGTTAAATGATTGCATATCTGCATTACTACTGTTGTGAATTTTATCAACTGACTGCGTGGAAGAAGGGTGAAGACCTTTCTAGTCTGTAAATACATTTATTTTCAATGAAAATGTTTTTGATCCTGGACTGTCTGTAGAAGAGTATAGTACATTAAATTGTGCCTAAGCATCACAGAGCTGTTCTCTGAAACAGAGTCCGCTCGACCACCCTCAGCGTCCCTGCAGCTGCCGGGGCATTTGAGGAGTGTTAACGGCACAAAGAGTCACTGTGACACGTCCATTGTAACAGCCCTGCAAACAAACTTCATGGTGAAATACAAACTCTTATGATGATGGTGATTCCTTAGTTTATGCAGTAAAATTAGATAGATGGATTTTTTTCTTCTTCTCTTTTACTATAACTTTTCATATTAGTGAATTATTTTTTTTAATTTCTAAAATATTTTCCTTTAGTCTATAAGTAAAATATTTTTAATTATTTTCCTTTTAAATTTTCAATTATTTTATGTCATATATATTTATACTTCCATAAGCTAACAGTTAATGCATCGTGTATTGCCAAAAAAAACAAGTGGTGCAATTGAATATCCTTAATGCTTTGAGTAAAAAATTATTGCACCCGTTGCATCTTGAAAGTTACTTATTTTCTTTTATAATAATATATCAATTTGTGAATAAAGTACAGTGTAAGGGAGAAGGTTTACAAACTCCAAACTTTCTTTAGCATCCAGCTGTAAATATTAAGTTCCATATTAATTCCCTTCCAACCAGACACATGAGGTTCGTGTAAGGGAAGTTGAGCACAAGCTTTTAACCAAATCCCTGGCCATAAAGAAAGCAAATCCTGTATTGGAATTCTCTTTGTTTTTTTCCTGGACTCAGCAGATGGTCTTGAACGGCAGATTGGTCTTGCTAAGATGTACGTATGCTGTGAGCACATTTCCGAGCATTTCTTGGGTTTGATGTCTGAAAGGACTAAAAACTATCAGGTAGCTTGGGCTTGCTTTTAGCTGCATGTGTGTCGAAAGCAAGGTTTTGTCCTAATGTCCCCACAGGATTTTTTTTTCCCAAGTTTTGTGTTTTATTTCACATTCTCCCTGTTTTCTTCTGACCCATTCCCTAGAAATCTTATGCAGATGATCAAAACGACATCTCCAAACAGAGCTTCAGGAATTATTGCGGTGGATGTTGTACTTCTCTAATGTGTACACTTACTTATTTAGAAAGTTCACTCTTCCTTGTTCCAGTGTAATTCTAGGGGATGCATGCTTTAGTTTTGTAATTGTAAAGCAATAAAATTAATCTACATGCTACTTAAGTTACTCTTGTAGCATGTTTGGATTAAAAAGACTGTTGATGTGCTTACAAAACCATGTTATTGCAACATGCATTAGGTGCATACCGGCTGGAGGTTAAAACACGGTTAAGATCATTGCCCTGATACCCGGACATGGTGGTTGTGATAAATTTGGCATCCCCAGGCTGACCCTGCTGCAGCCTGTCCTTGGAAACAAAGGCCAGGAAAACTTGGTGCCAACACCTGCATTTCCAACATTTAGCTATCCACCCCCGCCTGAACTGCTCCTTTATAATTATCAGCAAAACAAAATAGGCCATTAGGCTAAAAGGCTTTGGTTTGGCTTTTGACAAGGATTTGCGTGTAATTTTCCCTCTTTGTCTTCCAGCCTTTTCATCTTTTTCAGCCTGGTTTGCACAGGGCAGCTTTACTGCTGTGCAGGCAGTCGGGTGAGGGGCTTTACCTCTGTAATCCATTGGGAACTGGGTAATAAATACTCATAAAAATTTGATAAATATGAAGCAGAGCTACACTTAGAAACATGAAGATGATATGTGCAAAAATGTTTGAAGAGATTGCTTCTAAAAAGCATACTGTCACAGTCTGGTTTTGGTGGGAATTATGGATAGCAATGAAGTGAAATACCTTCTCTTCTATCTTTTCTCCAGCCACTTGATCTGAAATTCAGTTATTTTCAGAGCATTGCTTTCAAAGTCAGAAATCAAGCCTTTGTGTGAGTAAAGAAACAAATACTACTGGCTTTAAAAATATTTCCTTGAGAATTACGTGTTCTCAGTAAATCCCAGGTTCAATCAAGGAACAGTTTTCTTAGAAAGCATTGTTAACGGGGAAGATGTCGAAAGTTGCTGTTTTATGTAAAACGTCACATGGCAAATGGGGAGTGTGTAAGTTTTCCTGGAAGCTTATCAAAGTTTCATGTCAAGTTTTAATTTTAGCAGCACTTTTCTGCACTTTGCAGCCTGAACAAGGCCGTCAGGTTGCCTGGGAGTACTGAAGAGCCAAGGTACGCAGGTCTCGAGGGGAAAACCCATATTACATTCCACCAGAAACTTAATAGAGCCTTTTCTCTGCTCTTATCTCTCAGAAACAATTTCTGCCTCTTGAAGAATGTAGAGTAAATACTTGCTTTTAGCAGAATATTTTTATCGTGAGTGTTGTCTCCATGTAAAAGTTTATCTGAGTTGTTAGATTTGTCTTAATTTCCACTGATTGAAAGCAGATTTCATTTACCTACGGTCCCTGCGGTATTGACTGCATTAGAAATTCTTGCAGTCCAAGAGAGGCATAACAGGTTTCCTAGAACAGGGTAAGCACTGACCTGAATTTACTGATACAAGTATAGGACTAATTCCTATATGCACACCGTGAGCTTTATGTAAATCCAAATCAACTCATTATCTAATATAAACAGTAAGCAATTTTTTTGTTATTTCTGTAGAATGGTAGTTTAAACAGGAACAAATGCTGTGAAGGGAGAAGATTCTGTTTAAAGTATTATGATCCTATTTCAGATGTACTTGCCCTGAGTTCAATGATGAATCTGGAGCCTTTCTTTTTTTTAATAAAACTGACTTATGCCTGGACTATCATGTTTTTAAGTAGGTTCCCACAGACTCTTAACACTCCTCTCCCCAAGGGTTGTGTGCTGAAGTAGGGACTTGGCTGATACTTAGGTCAACGGTAGAAAGATTTTTCCACTGCAAATACTGACTGCTGGACCCGGGGGTTGAGTGCTCGCTGTTTGGTGGCCCACCTTGGTTTGGAGCGGGAGCTGGGAGGGAAGAGCTGCACGAAGGCCTGGGGGGCCGGAGGGGCGCGCGGGGAGCCGGCACGGCCGCCCCGGCTGCCTCCTCCCCAGACCGCAGGGTGCGGGGCCTGGAGTCGCCATCGCATTTTTACGTTAAATGAAGCCTTGGCTCCGCCGCAGCCGTGTAATGCAGATTGCAAAAGCAGATTAAAGCCCTAGTTCAGATTCAGTTGGACGTAGTACATCATTAGTTTGTACTGCTTCAGGACAGGGCCAGGGCATGTTTTTTTAGTATAGTTTCATACTGTGAAACAGTGTTCTGAGTTTCGGGAAGACTGTTAATCTCAGAATCAGGAAGATTTGCTCCTTTTTTTCTTTTCATCTTTATTTTCCATCCTAGTATTGGATTTTGAATAGCTTGGAAAAAAAAAACACAAACATTTCTTTATGAACAACAATGTGACTTGTGTTCCCTTATGGGATGACTTCCTATCTGATACAGTTATCTCCATGTAGCATTTAGTTTTCATAAGGGTTTAAAAAGGACTACTGAAGCTTTCTTTTTTATTATTATTATTCAAAAACTTTTTCTGTATTTTTTCATTTTTTCATCCATCACCAGGATTTCATTATAAAGCTTATAAATCAAATCCATAATCATTTTCCTAACAACAAGCTGAAGAGATGAAAAGGAGTGTGTTTTCTGTTGGGTTTTGAATGCAAGGTGATTTTTTTTTTGCATTGTAAAATTAATTAAATTAAATGGCAGTACCTTCTGTATCTTGGTTTTAAAGCTCCATTATTTTAGTTAATGCAGAATAAAGTTTAGACAAAGAAAAGCAAGTGCACAGTTGGATGTAATTTAAACCACATTTTGAAGACTGTGTTGGCTAAGTGAGTATGGATTATATTCCAGTATTGTTTTCAATAATAGTGTTACCATGGAAATTAATGCATATGCATGTCCAAGAACCCGCCATGCACTGATGTACAGCTACAATATGCCGAGAGGGTATTTATTATGTTAAATTTTTAATCTCTTCCGAACTTTTTCAGGCACTTTCCTTTAGATGTTTGCCTGCATATCCCATTATCACATCCCTCTCCCCATCTCACAACCCCAGAAATCCCATTATATGTTTCTTGGGTCTATTAGTCATGTAAATATCACGTGGAATATTTTCTGGAGGGGCTGGAGAAGGTGACATTAATTCAAATTTAAGGAGACCAGCTGATAACAGAAGGGTGAAACCAAGGCTGGCTTATGTAGAGCTGGTTAAAATAGACAAGCACAGAAACAACTGACTTCCTGCAGCAGAATAACCAGCTTTCCTGTTCATTTTCCTTAGCTGTTTTTATTTCTCTAATTGAGATAATGATCTATCATTATGTGGCATCTGTAGCCCAAACAAGGCCAGTAGCAGCTAAATATTTTGGTTAGCAGCTAGTTTGTTTTTACTTTATTTAGGAAATATTTAATAGGCTCGTAACTGCCTTTTGGGTAACACTACTAGAATTGTGGATTGTTTTTTTTCCCTTTATATTTATATATGTATATATAAATTTTAGTATATCTATGAATGAAATAATTCACAGTAGTTTGCAATAATAAAAGACAGTGTTAATTCCAAAGTCTTGCTTTTTACTAAGACATTAATTGTAATTTGGTAGCTAATAAAATACTTCTGTTTAAAATAAATAAAGGTTCAGCATATTGTGGAATACAGAGGTCTAAATTGTGGCGTGTTGGTCCAATCCAGTTCATGGCAGTGGCTTGACTTTTTTTTGTTGTTGTTGTTTTTAAGCCAGGTAGATGAGGGGTTATTTCAACATATATCTTGTCAGTTTTAAGAAAGCAGCCCTTTTAATGACTGCTGGTGGACAGTTGATGGACCAAAGTACTAGTTAAGGTTTTATATCCAGAAAAGGTGCTCTTTATAGATTAAGGATGAGGATTATTAATAGGTCTTCTCAGATATCCAGCTCAAGCAAAGGAAAAAAAATCAGCACATTCCATTTTATCTAGGTTCTTCGACTACATTTATTGTTGGGGAATCTGAGTGCATTCCTGTGGTTCATTAAGTGATTTGACTGTCATCTCTGTAACAGATTGTTAATCCATTACCAACCCTCTGAGGAAAATTGTACTGTTTAATTATTCTTAAATTTTGCTTCTCTGTGAAGTGCTCTGAGCTGCTGCTTGTGAAAATTGTCGAAACAGAAACTTAGGCATGGACAAAGTATAAGAGCAAAGCTACAGAGTAACTTCTCCATTTATAATTTCTCTTTCTTTTCCTGTTAAACAGGATACAATTCTGGCAGAATTGCTTCAAATCAATAAAGAATATATAGTTGGATATCACGAGCATGATTCACTCCTGGACCATAAGGAGGAGGAGGAATTGACTGAAGAAGAAAGGAAGGCAGCGTGGGCAGAGTATGAAGCAGAAAAGAAGGTAAAGCTGTCTGTGCTAGTTCTAAGTGTATGAAAGGTTTAAGTACAATCTACCTTTTAAGTAAGTTCTGTGAAAATTAGTGTTCTTATAGGCTCAAGTACTAGATATATGAAATAAACTTTGAGATATGAAAAGCTGGGACATTATGTGGTATTAGCTGTTTTCATGATGGTCCTCTCTGTGTGTTTTCTTTGTTACTTTCGTTTGATTTAAAAGTTGCATTTTTCTTTTATGTAGTTTTTCTGCTTCGTGATAAAGCTGGACTGCTGTCTTGCTTAATACCTCATTTTTACAAGTTGAGGGAAGTTTCTGACTCCACTGGAGATGTATGCATTTTTTTCAGAACTTTCTGCCACAGTCCAGCAAACAGAAGCATCTGCCAGGAAAGGCCAACAAATTTGCTTGTTTTTGTTATTCCCCATGTCCTATTTTCTTAGAAGAGATTTATGATTACTGCTACCAAAAGTCAGAATTAACTACATTTTAAAAAGTGGTGGGAACGGAAATTGGATGTTTAGCGAAGTTTTTTATAACCTTTCCAAGAAGATAGCAGCTGATGGTAATGCAATTACTTTGATTTGAATTATGGCAAGAGAGGCAAAAAGTCAGAGGGAGCAGTCACTTCAGGAACTCTGTTCCTTCAGAGAATAAAATCTGTTTGGTTTTAATGACTGGTAACTCAGATTTAAAAAATGAAAATAGCATAGGTAAGCAGGCGAAAGAATCAAGAAGATCTTATGTTATATCTTATATCTTAATGTCAAAGGAGAATAATAACTCGTCATAACTGGTACGATCAAGCTTTTCTGTGGAGAATTTAATAGCAGAAAAATTCTTGAAAATGCCAAGTTTGGTGTTCAGATCTAATCAGTAATCTCCAAGGACAGAAAGCAGGTTAGATGAAACACTGCTGAACTTGATTGAACAGACTTGTGTGAGGGAAAAGAAATAGGAAGGTCCTGAAATAATATGGAATTTATTGGAAATTAGTTTTGAAATAATAAAGAACAGAGCACTGAAATTGATTTGTGAGGAATCCATACAGGATATAAGCTCTATATACCTCCTAACAAATGCAGTAGATGCAGTAGTGTATATGAAAGGAATAGTGCAGGATTTCTGTACTGTATGTATACATTGAAACATGATTGTTCTCTGTTCTGAAAGCATTCAGGGTCAGAAAAAATCACTTTTTTAATGTAAATGCAAAGCTTTGGTAGATATCTTTCTTTTTAGAGTTTTTATTTTTTTCTTTCCTGTTATGCTCATCCAGCTGGTATTGGTTGCCTTTTTTATTATTATTATTTTAATAAACATTATTTTTAATGTACCCTGTAGTCTGTATACTGGTTTTGATTCTAGTTTTTCTTAATCAGACCAGAGCTTAGGTTCCTCAAGGTTCAAAATGTCCTTTTGAGCTCAGGTTTGGAAACATGATTCACTGTGCTGAGAGAGGGCAGCCTTCACGTGCAGTGCATAGTCCTGCTCGTCTTCTCTAAGGTCCAGTTTGTTTCTGTGCACTGGTTTATGGGTTGTTACAGAAGCATGGGAATTTTAGCAGACGTTCAAACACAAGTGCGTTCTGTGTTTTTAAGGGCCTGACTATGCGTTTCAACATGCCAACTGGGACCACTATGCTTCCTACAAATTTCAACTCCCAAACACCATATATTCCTTTCAACTTGGGAGCTCTGTCAGCAATGAGTAATCAGCAGCTGGAGGTGAGTAGCGGAGCTCGGGTAGCATCACATGTCTACGTCACTGTGAGCACGTGCTTATTGTTCTGTCACAGATCAATAGGTAATGTCATTGTTAAATAGCCTGATATTCATGAAAATGCCTCCTGTTTTTAACAGCTAGTTTTTATGGTTTAGCTATAGGTCTGTGCAACTGAAATTTAATGAATATGCATATGTTGTAAGAGCTATGCTTATGTAGTGTCTCAAGAGTCAAGATTAACTGCCTCCTTTACAGTCATTGCTGCATCTAGCTTTCTGCCTCCATCTGCCTTCTCCCCAGGAAGGAATGGGAGAGGGGAAAGCATCCTCGGTTATCCCAGGTCAGGGTTTGCTGTCTTGGCTGGAGCAGCTGCTGACCTTCCTTTCTAATAGGTTGCAAGGCTGTAAGGGGCAATAGCTGAAGAATGGTTGTCTTGGACCACCTACTAGTGTCTGGAGAGCAGTCTGTGTTACAGAAATGAAACGCTGTAACAAAGCAGGCAAATTCAGGGATCTTTTTGTGTCATATATAGCTCTTGAATAATAGACCGTATGTTGTACATATGCCAGCACTATGTTAAAATAGATTGTAGTAGTTTGAGCACACAGGAGGAGTTGAGGATGTAATGTCATCAAAATCAACACCACAGAGAAGTTTTCTGGCTATAAAAGTGTAGCACACTTGCACTGATCTGAAAACCCCTGGGTTAACATACTTTTTATAAACACCATCTACTGTAGAATTTGGGAGATTTATGTTCGGTTACTTTATTCTCAAATTAAAATGTGTGAAGTTAAATTCCATCTTATTACCCACATTTGCTGATTTATGTGAACTAGGAGAAAAAGGTAATTAAGGTATAGGCACATAAGCTGAAGAAGGCTTGTAGGAAGCTGGCAAACAGATGTAAATCTGTGCTTTATAATTAATTTCCTGGTGTTTTCTCAGGACCTCATTAATCAAGGAAGAGAGAAAGTTGTGGAAGCAACCAACAATGTAACTGCAGCAAGAATTCAGCCCCTTGAAGACATCATTTCAACTATAGTGAGTAAAGTAGATATTTGTAGGTGTAGACCAGAATATGGGGAACTGTTAGCATTATGAAGTGAAAGAATGACTGCTGCGTGTGCTCATTCAGCAAACTATTTATATTATTAACAAATAAAATTTGCAGTTTGTGTTGACCTTTGTCACTGCAGCTTACTGCGGAAGTTAATGGCATCTACATGTTGTAGAGCCTTGGTTGTAGCTTATCTCTTGATGCAATTCTGAACAAAATGGGAGACTTCAATTATCATTATTTTGCCTTTTCAGTGGAAAGAAAACGTGACACTTACAGAGAGCCAAGTGCAGGCCCTGGCCCTAAGCAGACAGGCAAGCCAGGAGCTTGAAGTTAAGCGCCGAGAAGCCATCTATAACGATGTCCTTACTAAGCAACAGATGGTAAAGTATCTAAAATTTTTGCACCTACTATCTGTTTGAACTATGTTGTTGAATTGTTTATAAAATTAGGTGTATGTTTAGATGCGTAAGTATGTACTTACAGAATCCATGTTTCTTTGGGTCAAGTCCTTGCCAGCACTGTCGTATATGATGTAAGATCAAGCCCTGTGCTGGATTCGATTGCTCAGTCTCATTGAGGAAAACTTGGTTGGAAGTTCATTGCGAATAGTAGTCTCAAAATTTTCTGTTCAGCTACTCTGTTTGAAGGTCATGTCCCTTGAAGAGAAATCTACTTCTGAGAACCAAGCAAGCAGCTCACAGAACATACCTCTTGGATGGTATCGTTAATGGGTTTTCTAGTTTAGATTAATTTTGCAAAAGTTGCCCAGATTGTGCTGATTGGAATTGGTTTTCTTCTCGAAGATGAAAATGTGCTTTTAGTGACAATCAACAGCCAGAACTTCCAAAGTGATGATAAATGGTACCTAAAAAGAAACACTTAAACCTGGGCATAGGTTCACTATATAGTGCATGCTACGAAAGCAGCTTGCTTAAATACTGTATGCAGTACAGTAGGCAGGTCACTAAGAGAACATAGCCCTAGATGGTGTTACTAAATATTTTCTACAGCGTTCAGCTCGTGAATGCCACCACATTAGTGACGGTGATAACAATAGTGCTTTCTCCTGCAGACATGGTATCCCTAACAAATTGATTTTAACCCTGAACTTGATACTGGCAGTGCTGAGACGTTCATGCGCTTTTAACAGCTCTGCTTTCCCTTCACAGTTAATCAGTTGTGTTCAGAGGATACTCATGAACAGAAGACTCCAGCAGCAGTACAATCAGCAGCAACAGCAGCAAATGTCTTACCAGCAAGCAGCAATGAGTCATCTCATGATGCCAAAGCCTCCCAATTTAATCATGAATCCTTCCAACTACCAACAGATAGATATGAGAGGAATGTATCAGGCAGTTTCTGGTGGCATGCAGCCACCACCATTACAACGAGCACCACCCCCAATGAGAGGCAAAAATCCAGGGCCTTCCCAAGGGAAATCAATGTGATTTTGCACTAAAGCTTACAGGATTGTTAAAATCAGAGAAAGAAGTTTTATTTTTTTAGGAATCAATGGCTTAACAGAACTCAACTGTAAAAAAAAGAAAAAGAAAAAAAGAAAAAAGAAAAAAAAAGGTAATAATAGTTTGGTTTGTCCCCTTAAATGCCATGTTCCATGTTAGTGTTTCAGCTTTGTTTAAGTAGGACATGATGTTTTCCCTGTTGTCAGTGATGTTGCCTAGAATCTTCTTACATATGTTGAGTACAGGAGATAACAAGTTGTTTTCAGTGAAAACAAGTCCTCCCGTAACAGTAGCAGCTCCACAGGTTTCCTGTCTAAACTCCTATGCTTGCTTTTAGTAGCCATGAAGCTATCATCTGATTTGAGAAGCTTAGGAAGGACTACAGATCTGTATGTTTCAGTAGACCATATGTGAATTGTACACAGCTGAGTTCTTGATTAGAGTTGATTCCTCAAATTATGGAATACTTTTCTGCTTACCCATTTCTTGAATTTAATGAGAATAGTATAACAGAAATAGTCTGGTCTCCTTTTGACTGAGGTCTGGACTCTTGCTATATCATCTATGCTGAATAAAGCATAGGAACTGAAGATTCTTTCTGAAGCAGAACTGAGTGCAATATTCTTAAATACTACTGCTTTGAAACTTCTGAGTCATGCAGTTATATGGGAACTGTGTATACAGCCTTAAATCATGACTTGGAGAAGATGATTGTTCTTCTCTGGTCATCTGCCATTTTTTATTTTCAGTTTTATGTGACGGAATAACAACTGGTAATCTTAGAATTGGAGATGTTTTTCCTTCACACACTAATTTACTCTATGCGGAGTTCAATACAAAGCACATTTCTGTTAACTCCTTAATGCTGGTGCTAGTGTCTTTTCCCATTGCCGGCAATGGGAGATGGGCCGCGAAATTTAAATTCCCGGTATTTGGGGGGTTAAAATAGTGATGGTGAGGGTCAAACCCTGTTTATAAACAACTTTAAAATGGCAGAACCATTGCTGATTTAAAATCAATACAAAGAAAGTGCTGTGTAGCAACTTCCAGAGCTGCCAGATTTGTGAAATAACTTTTCCTCTATTAGATATGAGTTTTGATTATCATGCACTCTTCCCTGTTCCCTCTCCTTTGTACGAGTACATGATTTAGTACAAAAAGAGTTTGGTTTTTTGTTTCTTTACATAGACTGGAGAGAAACTTCTGGTTTATTACGTATCATTAGCACTCTCTTTACCCACCTATTTTTGTGCTTGTGAAGATCTAATTAAACACAAATAGGGCTTTTCTTTGAATAGTTTGGTTGATTCTTTAAAAAAAAATGGATCTGGGGGTGAAATAAATGACAGGAACATTTGATGCAATGGTGTCTTGAATATAGAAGACAGCTAGAGAATTCTTCCCAAGTCCAGCCCACTTGGCTGGAGGGATTTTGCTGGAATCTTCTGGCTTGTTGACATGGACAAAACTTGCTTGGGTTTCTGGAACTTTTCTTGCAGGAGTTTGAGTTCTTGCCCTGGATGGACAAGTGTTTTGTTGCATCTAATGCAGATCTTCTGCAATATTTCATTTTGTGATTGAAACTTGGTTTGTGATCTAAGCAGACTTCATTTGATCTGTTGTAAAATCAGCTAACAAAGTTGCTGCCTTGGAGTCTTGTTACAAGGTACCATAAAAGACCCTCAGTGTGTTCTAGTGCTTTGCCAGCTCTGCAGTTAAATTTGTTAATTTTAGGGGAGGGGAGCAAAAAGAGATGTGTTCACACTATAGAAGAAATGAAAATAAGAGACTTTGAGACAAACATGTGAAGGCAAATGTACTTTGGGCAACTGTCACTGATATTCCTACGTGTCATGAATAAGAGAAATACCTTCTACCAAACCTGGGAAAGTTCAATGGAGTTTTACAATAACTCAAAGACTTAAATGTGGAAGTTTTAGGCAACATTTAAAGGCACATTTTTTTCATTCTGGACAAACCTATGGATAACAGAAGACTAATACATAAGAAGAAATTGGAGATAAGCATTGAAATAAAACTTGGACCACTTTGCATATATGTTTCTCACTTGACATTTTAGCTGCATAACAATGTGCTTTGAGTATAACATCAAGCTTTAACAAATATTTAAAGACAGAACGTACATCAGTAAGATAATAAAAGGCTCATTTTTATATTTGTTTTAGATGTTTTAACTAGTTGAAATGGCTTAAGATGATGAATAAAAAATGTTGCTTGTAATACAATTTTGCCTGCTAAATTCTCCACATTTTGTAACCTGTTTATTCCTTTGGATGTAAAGCGTTTTTGCTTAGTATTGTGATATTGTATATGTTTTGTCCCAGTTGTATAGTAATGTTTCAGTCCATCAACCAGCTTTGGCTGCTGAAATCATACAGCTGTGAAGACTTGCCTTTGTTTCTATTAGATGGCTTTTCAGTTCTGTATTAAATATCTTAAGTACTATAGAAAAGGTGTCACCTCTTCCTATAAGGCTGTTTTGTAATATATATAAGGACTGGAAATGTGTTTTTAAAGAAAAAAAAAAAAGCATTCAAGTACGATGATATACTATCTGTGTTTTCACCATTCAAAGTGCTGTTTAGTAGTTGAAACTTAAACTATTTAATATCTCATTTAATAAAGTGACCAAAATACATGAGTGTGCCTTGTGCTACATTTGCAGTGCAGTATTGGCTCTTTGCAAGTTGCCAACTTAGGGCTGGTGGTTAAGCTCTTATTTTGTCCACAGTTGACATTCAGGTTTCTGAATTTAGTCCTTAGTTTAACTTAGTGAAAACAGTTGTGGGCCAGGTTTTTAAATTGTATAAGTTATCTTCTGCAGCCCAACTCATCTGTCAGAAATGATGAACAAAGAGGTGTGATTTGTTACCCAAGGATAGATCATCAAGTGAGGTGAAGTTGGTCTACTTGGTCAAACTCAACTACTCCACTCCATATTTTAAACTTTGTGTGTTTGTGTGTGTACTTTTTCCTTTCTTAGATTTATTGGACAAAAAAAATCACCAAAAAAGGATGTAGGTTGACTTCCAGTGTTACCCTATGCTTGTCCCTGGTATTTACCCTTTCTGGCAGGTGTGGGACAGCACTGTGGCCGCATCGCTGTACAAAATGGGTCTGCTCTGTGAGATTCAGCTGGTCTCAAAATGAGTTGCCTCCATGCCCATGCCATAGAAATCTTGTGTACTGTGGAAGTATTTGGAGCTCGTAAATGCCCAAGTTGACTTAATTGTATTGCAAGGGGGAGGGAGAGCCTCTTTTTTTTTTTTTTTTCCTTTTCTTTAGAAGATTGGTAGTTTGGTCCTTAGAACCAGAACTCCTCTGTCTCGGGTAAATACATTTATCAGTTCAGGTGAGTGTGTTTTGGAATTGGACAAGTTTTCCATGCTCATGGAAGACATGCCCTAAGCAAGGGTCAGAGCAGTGCTGGTGCTGCAGCAGGGGCTGGGTAAGCCGAGAGCGGTCAGTGTTGTTGGAGACAGCCCTGGCGTCTCCACCTACAGGCAACCCAAGACCGGCCTGCACCCCAGCCCCTTGGCCGTCTCCCAGCAAGGCCGCAGTTTCCTCCCTGAGGAGGAGACATTTCCCTGTGTGGGGCTTGCTGGTCGACTCCTGATGCTGTGGGACACCAACGTCCTGTCAGCCCTGGCTGCGCCTCAGCACCCTGGGCTTCTCCCACCCCCTCAGTACCTCTGCCCACCTGCGGCTCTGGGAAGCAGCCTAGATGGAACAGAAGCTGGATGGGGCCCTGTCGACCTGGCACTTGAAGCCCTGCGCTGGAGGACAACCCTTCGGGCCAGACCGGGCGGCTCTGTGGTGTGTCCTCCAAGGCTTCTGCAGCATCTATGCGCACTCCGTCCCCCCGCCAGCACTGATGCATCTTTGCCTCAGCAGTGGTTCCTGGCAGCATCTGAGACTGGTCACCCTGTGCTGAGGGTGAGGAGACGTGTCAAGTGCCATCCCCTGTGTCCTGCCGCACGCGTGGTGCTGACTCTGGCTCCCCAGTGCTGCAAAAGGCCTTGTGGGGACTCGGTCAACTCAGGCCCGTAGACAGACATCACCCCTCTCCAGACGCTGCCCCTGGAGTCACCACCTTCATCTGGTGCCACTGGGGAGATGCAGGTTTCTCACAGTAAAGATTCTCTTTTCCAGCAGATCCATGGGCAGCTTTTCCTTGGAGGAGTGGTGGCTACTGCAGCAGTGATCACACAGGATGGCAATGATCACCTCCACACCAGAGCTGGTCCTGGTGCCTCTACCAGCCACATCCCTGTACAGGACCACTCATCGCAACTAGTCAGAGACATTCTCCTGCTGCAGACCCAGAGCTGCTCTGTTCCTTGCACTGGCCAGTCTGGCTGTGAGGTGTGAGTGGCGCAGCTCCAACTCGCCAGGACTTTCAACAGCTCCATCAAGGACTTTGGCACTTGGAAGGACCATGTTCGCATGCCCACGGTGGAGAGCGCTTCGTGCCCATCCCTGGGAGCGCAGGGGTCCTGCAGCAGCAGCTCCTGGGGGCCGGGCGAAGGCAGCCCTTGTGCTGCAGCCACTCACCAACTAACTACAGCATTTTACAACAGGCAAAAAGGCAGCTTGTGGCAGCAGGACATGTCTCAGGAAGGAGGAGGCTGCTGAGGACTCAGGGGAAAAAAGGTAAACTTCTTTTTTTAATTATTCCTAATGCAGGTTTACAATGTAGAAAAGCCTCCCTCTCTCTCCTACAGAACAAGCCTGTATTTCTACATATTTTGTGCATGCTGTTTGGAATCTTTAGTAGAGATTTTAACCATCCCGTGAGCAGGGAAACTGTGTTAATGGCTGTAAGACACCAAAAAACAGGGCTAGCAAGAGATCTACAATATAAAGACAATTTTATTGCCAATAAGCTCTTAAAACTCTTCTCTCTCCTATTTCAGTAGGACCTTATAATCCCCGGTGAAAATCTGCTCATAGCATCTCTCATTAAAAATAAAATTATTTTGAAATAAATAAATATATAAAATAAATACCATATACATTTTATAAATAGCTTTGTCCTTATGCACAGTATCCATGCTTCCAGACGTCCTCAAACCATTCCAACCCTGGCAGCAGGAAGGGACAAGGCACAACCCACACGTCCCGGGCACCCATCCACATCCCAGGACCGGGGCCATCTCCTTAGGGACCAGGAGATCTGCATCTCAGGTGGCCAGCAGGGTCTGCATCCAGCCATGGGGATCCTCAGGCCACTCCATGCAGCCATCCAGGCATCACCTGTAGTGGAAGAGGTCTCTGTAGGCGGCAGGGGTTTTTGCAGGGTCCACGGGCCTGGGCAAAAAGTGGGTGAACTTCTGGTGCCGCTTAGTCCGGTAGCCCTCGCGGGGCGAGCCGTCCTTGTTGAGGGCCACGTAGTAGTGGCGCTCCGAGTCGGCGTGCTTGTAGAGCGTCGAGGCGTACGTGTTGTACCAGTTCTCCTCAAACTGCTCCCGGAAGACGCACTCCCGCGTGAGCTTCTTCTGCAGCCGGCACCAGCGGAGGCAAAACACGCAGGCGTCAAAGGAGGGCGGGAGAGAGAACGTCCTCCCCATGTGCAACGTCTCCCCCCTTGCTTTGCTCTGCCAGGCTTGCAAAAGCCTCTCTATGCACCTGCTCGCCTCCCTCCCCAGGGCCCATGGAGGCTTTTTCTTTTGTTATTAATAATTACCTAGAATGCTACCTATTCAGAGTGCGTTGGAAACTACCCGGCTGCAGCCTCCTGCTTCTCCTGGGGCTGCGGGGAGGAGACAGGGTTGCATGAAGCGTTTTGGGAGTCCTCACAGCCCCATGGATCCCCCCATTTACCCTAATGACTGGTCTGGGGGCTGCCTGATGTAGCCGGCACCCAGACTGCAGAACTGTCATGGGTAGAAATAACTGTCTTACTGACAGCTAGAGCCTCTGAGGCTAACAGGAAACGTGGAGAACATTTTAGGCTCAAACCCTATGCAAAGGGCAGCTTAAGATCTGTATTTTTTGTTTTATGGAATCCTGACAGTCTTCTTATTTTAGCCATGGTGCATATTTGTAATGCAGGCATTCTCCCCACATATATGTATATAGCAGATGTATCCAACTATCTGTCTTATCCAATGCTGCACTCATCGCAGAAGCTGGGACTTACCGACCCGTAGAGCTCGCCTCGCTCGTTCATGCCGAGGTAGAGCCCCGAGTCGACCCCGCGGATGCTCACAAGCCCCACGGCCAGGCTGATGAACTCCAGGATCCCTGAAAGGCAAAAGGGATGCGGTCACTGAAGGGACAACATGGGCAGCGCTTGCTCAGACAACTTCCCCATGAGGAATCAGCTTTCCTGATGGGAAAAAATAACTATCACCAAAAAGGACAGCTGTAGAAATCTGCCTGGTCCCCTCCTAAATGTTTTACTTTTCCCAGCTTACCCTAGGTTTTGGGGGTTCTTTTGCCTGCCACATCTCTGCCTTATCTGCTAAGGCAGCTCAGCATCCATCAGCAGATGGAGCAGCAGATCCATCTCCTTACAGGTGCAAATACGGTCCTCAGCAGCACTGCTCTAAAGGCACATGCTCCTTTTCCCCCCCAGAAAGCACAGGGTGCTGGAAGCTGTTCCCCAATGGCTGCAGGGTCTCGGTGCCCAAGTGGCCAGGGGGCAGTGAGGCAGGGGCAGCCCAGCCCAGCGTCCCCTGCTCCCACTGAGCCCCCTCACTTGGTTTTGCAAACCGCCTTTTGCCACGGTGAACTCACGGCCATCTCTTCTGATGATGGCCCTAGTGACGTTCTCCTTGCCTGGTCTGAGAGGCACTTTGGAGACGTGCACCCCCAAGGACTGTGTTGAAATAGGGTGAAGAGGCAACTGAACCCCCAGAACCAGGGGTCAGGGTGAAGGCTGGTGAGACGCTGGTGGACATCCATCCTGTCCTTAAATCTCTTCAGCTGCTGGAGACTTGCACTTTGTACATCCACTCCTCTGACACACAGAGTGGCTACTGGGGCAAGCAGGCAGATTTTCTACCCCTTTGCAGCAGTGTTTTTTGGGGGTAGAATACCTTTATTGATTGTTTTCCCCTCCAGGACTTGCCTCTCTTTGTGGTTGGATTATCCATTGTATTTGCTTTTTGAGCCTTTCTAGACAATGCTTGGAGAGATTTAATTAAGACTCCAACAAGACTCCTCTAATAGCCGACCTTGGAGCAACGCTCGGAGCAGCACGCGCGCCTTCCCGTGCGGGCGCCGAGTGCACCTGTCTCCCAAACCACAGGCGCGAGACAAGGTCCAGAAGCAACGTCAGATGTTGTTGTATTAATGTCTGCAAACCTAAAGCTTCAGCTAAAAACCTCAGCAACTGTTTAGTAACAGGTGCAGTGGAGCCCGAATGTCAAAGTCTGCAGGAAACCTTTCTCTGGAGGTTTCATTAGTTTCTCTAGGAGGCTCGGTTACACATCTGTTAGCAGATTTGTACCCAAGAAGAGCTTTAGTTGCTCCCTTTATTAGTCCCCAGGTCTTTTTTCCCCCCTCTTCACTCACATTTAAGAGCAGCATTGCTGGGATTACTTGTTTCATGCTGGTGTAAGACAGACACATGGCAGAAAAGAAGCAATTCCTCCCATCAGGGATTCTTCTGGTGACTTTATCTCAGTGTCTCTCTCAGGAGGATCCTTCTGGTCAAGGTGCTAGTGCCAGTCCAACCCTCCTTGTATTTCTCTGATACACCAGATAGTGTATCGATTCCTGCTCTTCGGAAAACACTTCCTCTCCCCTTCATGGTTGCTTAGCTAGAGCCGCTGGTATGAGAACAAGCCACCTCCCCAGGTCTTGGAGGGCTTCACAAATCTTGACCTGAGTCTTCTCTAGGAAAAATAAGACAGTATGCCCTTCTTGTGTGAATTTGTATTTTTCTAAGTATTGAGCGTCACGTTCCAGAAAGCAGGTGCAATCTGGGAAAGCTCCAGTCCAGACATTGCCATGACCACGCAGATCTTCAGGGGCAGCGCTATAGTTGCCTCCTCATCCCCCATGTGCAGCTGCCTCAAGAGGTCCCTCGCAGGAGACCTCACGCCTTGCTGTTGGGACCTTGTTGCTCTGCATCACCACAGCTCCATCTTGTTATTTTCCTCCCTGGAAGGCTCAGATGTCTCATGCATCCTGTAGCTTTTGGGATGGCCATGCACAGCACGGTGCTTTGAACAGGGACCCTGAGGAACCTCCCGTCCGTCTCCCTCACCGTGACTTCGTGCCTCCTTCGAGCAGCGCAGCCTGCTTATTCCTGAAACAAGGGGCTCCTCTCCGCCTGCTGCACGCGAAGGCTGGGAATGCATCGATACGCGACACCCTAACACAAACCATACCCGCAGCATTGCTCTTCGAGTACTCCTGGCTACTGGACGCAGATGGGGAGCGCTCCATGCCAGCGGTTATTGCTCTGCGCCTCCGTCGCGGCGAGCCCCGCTCCAACTCCATCTGCATGTGAGGATTCCAGTCCGAGGCCCCGGGGCTTTGTCCCGCAATTACAACAAATAACTATTTATTTTACGCTACCTCTGGGAAAGCCCCGGAGCAGAAAACTATAATATTTTATATCTGAAGTCTGGTCTAGTTTACGTAGCTGGATGCTGACTGCTAAAACACTTACGGAATGCTAATGTTTCCATTTATTGAACACGCCATGAGACTTAACGCTTAACCAGGCAAAATTCATGAAAAGCCTCAGTCCATCTAGTGCACGTTTCCAAAGATTTAGTCTGTTTAATGCATATTTCCAAAGTTTGCTTGTAAATACATCCATTTTACTTCATCTTTAAAAAGAAAAACACAACTGAGGTGTGTGCTGCTATTTGAAAACCCTTGCTTGCCCAAAGATACAGAGATAGAACTGACAGAAAGACTACGTGGCAGATTAAACTGAAAAAAGACGTGGATACCACGGCTTGGCTTTCGGTTTTCTGCACTGGAGGAACCCACCGTGTGGTGCAGCGCCAAAGAGAGAAGACCTGGGTCTTTTTGGAGGGTCCTTGGTGCTTATGCTGACTGCAGGATTAGGGTTTCTGGTTGCTTACGGTAGGGACGTGTTACACATGCATACACACACGGTGTTTGCAGAAAGCACGCGACACGGGTAGGGATTATTTCCCCCAGTCTCTCCCAAACCTACGCCTTAAAATTACAGCAGCAAAGTCCCTGAGGCGCCGGCAAGCGCCACTTGCGACCAGCGAGAGGCGGCAGAGCCGCCCTCCGCCCGGAGCCGGCGCACGGCAAGGCCGAGCTCCCCGCTGCGGGACGCGCATCGCTCGTGGCACCTGCACCGGGGCAGCGCCAGCGGCCCGGCCACCGCTCAGCCCCGGCGCCGGAGCGGCGTCCTAGGAGGCTGCGCTGCCTCGGGACGCGTCCCCCCTCCGGGTCCCCCCTCCGGTAAATGCACAGGGTGAATCCCGGCTGTCGCGCCGGCTCCC